CAGATTGAACCTGCCTTTTCGGATGGCACGTGATGCCGCCCTCTGGAAGTTCCACTAGGCCATCCAGTGGTCACTAGTGGTCGTCCATTGTGACCGCCAGCTGGGAATCTGTGTGTTGGGGCTGCTGCTTCCCTTTCATCCTCTCTCTTCCCCATCTGAGTCTTCAGGTGTCCCTCAGCCACCTGCCTCGCTTCGTGTCTCCCCATCACTACCTACTTCTAAGTTGGGGTCTCCCTGGCCACCTTGGGGCACCTTGGGGTCTCCCCAGGGTGCACGGGGAGAGGCTGGTATCACTGCAGACTGGGCCCTTGACCTAGGCACGTCCTGCCCTTGCTTAGAAAAATCACTGTTGCTTGCCAAGCCTCACTTTCTCCTGATAAGCTGAGCCCTTCTCTTGTTGTCCTGTCGCAGTTCTGAGGGTTCAAAGTTTGCAAAGTGGCTTTGTGATATTTTGGGCGCTGTGAATAGGAATGTGGGGCTGTGCTGCAGAGGAAGACCTGCTTCCTGGGGACCCACGTCCTGTGCATTCAGCACATTCACCAGCATCCACTAGGTGCTGAAGTGGCTGTCATGTTAGAGAAACAGTATTGGGTTCTCTGCTCTGTAGGAAGGACAGATGGCAAATAGGCACATAGATAAATATGTAAAACAAAGATACAATGCAAGGATTAGTGAAGAAGACAGCATGGGGCTGAGACAGGTTACATTAGTTCAGATTATCAGGAAAGGCCTCAGAGGATGTGAGAACTTGATGGGAAGAAAAGTATTTTGGGTAATGGGGACAGCAAGTGCAAAGGCCCGGAGGCAAGAGACAGTTGGCATATTCAAAAAGCAGGGTGAAGCAGTGCAGCCAGAGCAGAGGGAACCAGGGAAAGGTGGTGTAAGATGGGATGAGGTCAGGGTCTTTGGGTCTGGGGAGGTTTGGGGGTCTGTGTGACCTAGAAGGAGAAAGCTTTGGAAGAGTTTGAGGTAGAGCTCTGGCAGCATCTGATTTATATGTTTAAAGATTCCGTCTGGCTGTAGTATGGGAGGGTGAGTTGTACTGGGGAGACCAGTCATGGACTGGGCGTGGCTGGGCACAGATGCTAGGGGCCTGACCAGCCTGCAGCAGGAGAAGTGGAGAGATGCAGACAGATGCTGGACCAAGCTTGGAAGTGAGAGGGGCCGCGCTCAGGGATTCGGGAGGAGAAGATAAGAGGAACCAAGGACCATGGGTTCCCAGATTTCTGGCTAAAGCCATTGTGCTCAGCACCAGAGTCACCAGATTGCGGTCAGGCTGCTTTGTTGCTGGAGCAGTGGACATGATGGAGGCTGAACCCTCTACACCAGGAGTGACGAACCTTTTAGAGACTGAGTACTCAAACTGCAACCCAAAACTCACTTATATTTATTGCCAAGTGCCGACACTGGCCTTCTGTGTGCTATTGTCTGATGTTTTGCTGGCTGCTGGGGTGATGCTGGGGCAGCTTGGCTCACATGGCTATAGAAAGGACTCTCCGTGCCCACTGTAGCACATGCAGCATAGGTTTGCCATCACTGCTGTGTGCTTCACTCATTGCTACAGCCGGAGGATGCTCAAGGAATATTTGTTGAATGAATATGTAAACCTATGACTAGGAAGTCTGGGCCAGCAAGAGACCCTGTCCTCCATTTGCTTCAGTTAACCCACTTGTGAAAAGGACTGCTGGTTGAGTATCTCCACCCTCCAAACTCCTTCTACAACGAGATCTAAGCACCCAGAACCCTGTGCCCACCTGTGCCCATCCATCCCTCAAGCAGGCCCTGGCTCCCCATATTCCTGCTCCAAACAGAAACCTCAAATTACCTGTGGGGTGGGGCCAGCAGTGTCCCAGCCTTCCATCTTGCCCACTTATGCATGGCAGACCCAGCCCCCCCTTAATGACACCTTGCTGCCTCCTGCTGGGGCAGGAGGGGAGAGGGCCGGCCCAGCCTGAGCTGTGGTTTCTTTTTCCATTGCGTCAGGCCTCAGGGTCCAGCCTGCCCGCCCGCTGCCGGGCTGGCACCCAGGGCCACTCTGACCCCCACCTGCCCCAGCTTCAGACATCATGTGCTCCCCATTTCGGGTATCCAGAAGCTTCCTGCCAGAAGGTAAGTTGGAGGTGGGGTCCTGCCCCAATGTAGAGGAGGAGTTCGCTCCCTGCCTACCCATCTGTGCTTTACTGGGCCTGGCTGGGGCCTGGAAGCAGATCCAGATGGAGTTAGTTGTGGTGGGCTGGAGGTCCTACATTCCAGCCCATCCCAGCCTTCCCTAGGACCCAGGGATCCTGACGATGCCCCGAGACTAGTGTGGAAACCAAGGCAAGGGGCTGGGGTTTAGACAGGGAAGGGGACTCAAATGGGGCAGGAGCGCTCCCGTAGGCACATGCTTTGTGTTTGGTGTCTGGGTGCTTGTGCCTATGTGAGCGGTCACGTGTATATCTGGACAGGCCAGGATATGAGCTGGGCGTGTTACCTGGCCCTCCTCCTGGTGAGAACAGAAGTGTCTGACTTGAAGCAGGGGCCAGTGCCCATGTGTCACCTAACATATGCAGGGGCCTGTGAGGTGGGGAGAAGGCGGGTGAGCTGGAATCCCAGTGCCAGTGATGGTGGGAAATGCGGGGCTGTGGACAGTGTGATCTCAGAGGAGCTGTGGGCCCTGGGTTGAAGTGGGGGCGTTTTCTTGGCTTCCTCCGCTGCAGCCCTGGTTATGAGCCTGTGCTCTCAGCCCAGCCTCCCCTGACCTGGTGAATTCTCTGGCTGTCCCCATATGTCCAATGATCTCCCCATCCTGTGTCCAGAGTCCAGACCCAGTTCGTACTCTGCCTCTGCTCTTTCCTGGCCATGCAACTTTAAACAGTGACTTGAGAACTCTGGGGCTTAGTTTCTTCATCTATAAAATGGGATTGCTCATCTTGCCCCACACTCTGTACCCCCTGGCAGGGATAGGTATAAACAGGTACTACCATCTATGCCCAACGCACAGACATTCCCCTGCTCCTCTCATTGGTTAAAGATCTGTTCTCCCTGCCCTGCACATGCGCATGTGTGCAGCTAACTCCCAGCTGTGCACGGTGAGAGGACGCAGTACACCTACCCCTCCAGTGGAAACAGATTTTTACACGACAAGAATAAATCTGGCAAGCAAATTGCAGTGCTGCCCTGATGCTTTGGGCTTGTATGATTTAATGAGCTTCTGGGGCAGGCGGTGAGACAGAGGAGGCCAAGGCCAGCTTTGTCACTGACATCTGGACAGTGACAGTGGTTTCCTTCCTGCCAGGCAGGTCCTGGGCAGGGGGGCTGTATCTGAAGGGAAAAAGGGGCCTGCAGCGGTGCTGGAGGAGGGGGCTGTGGCCTGTTGGAGGCAGTAGTGGCTGCAGCCTGGTGCCTATGGCCTGCTCCTTTCTGCCTGGACAATAGCAGCTGAGGACCAGAACTCCCCAATCCCTGAGTGAGCTTTTCAAAAGGCACCTCAGGCTGAGGATGTATCTCGGGGCTGGGGAAATAGCCGAATGATAGAGTGCTTGCCTAGCATGAACAAGCTGGCCCTGGATTCAATCCCCATCATAGAATAAAATGAAAAGGCAAATTAGATCGCGTTACTTCTCTACCTCCAAGGCTTCCCATCACTCTCAGACTAAAGTCCAGCTCTGTATCAGGGCCTGTAGCACCCACAGGACCTGGCTGCTTACCCCAGGCCCTCAATCCTTTTCATCCAGACTGGAATGGGGGTTCTGTGCAGGCTGAAACAGGGCAGACTTCTTCCTTCAGGATCTGCAGCCCTGGCACAGATCTGTTTGGCTCCTCCGGAAATGGATAAGCCCGTTTCCACCTGAGAAACACGGAACAGTAATACCTCTTGCCCCACATCCTAAATGGGAGTTACAGGCACTGTGCAAGGGCCATGCTAGCAGGGCTGTCAAGCACAGCGACTTGGATTGTGTTCCCAGAGGGAAGTCACTGCTCTCACCTCCCCTCTCTGGGAAGCTGCAGTGTTGGTTACCCAGTCCACAGTGAGGGGACAAAATATTGAGTGAAGAAGTTGAAGCCTGGTCCTTGTGGAGCATGCTTGTGGGGACCGGACTCAGCCACCTAGGTGACAGCCTGCGCAAAATGCACATGTGGCAGTGAGAGTAAGATCTGACACAATAGACTCAACAAACTGGGTCATGATACTGCATAGACAGATAGGAATCGGAGGCACAGAGTCAGCAAACTTGTCTTCAGGATCTGTGCCAGGTGGGACCAGATTCATCTCCACCCTGGAGATGGTTCCTCCACTGATGCTCCAAGTGAACACTATGTCCTCAAAAATAGAACTGCTTAACAGGAGCAAATGTCAGTAACCAGCTTTGATGGAGGGGTACAAAGGCCCGTGGTACGGGATTGGGGGAAGTCATGAGTGACTGAAGGGTCAATTCTGGGTTGCAGGTGAAGACCAACTCAGGAGGATTTGAGTGACATGAAGGGTTTGTCCTTTCATTTACTTATACATTCATCCTTCTGTCATTCAGCAAATGTACATTGAATGTTCCTTTTACTACAACTGTGGTGCTTGGGGAAGAGATACAAGACAAACATGCTAGACAATGAACAAGGTCCAAATTTGAACAATTTCTAGAAGCAGGCTTGCCAGCAGCCAAAGCAGTGAGGGAAGCCTGAACCCACCTAGCCTTAGGAGAAACCCGGGTCCTCCGGGCATGCTGAGCACCTGGGATGCCTGCGTGCACTGTGATTGGTGCTGATCTGACACGGGCACCTCACAAGGACCCGTGTGTATCCCAGGGCTAAAGACCAACCTAAGCAGGGGAGAACTCGAAGACAAACTGGGCACACTCCCAGAGACGCTGCTGTTGTGCATTTTTGCATAGTCTCCTCTGTCCAAGCCTTTGCCTCATTGCCTCTGTCCCCATCATCTCTCTACTCTTTCTTGATGGTCAGATCGGGACTTGCCTCTGGCAGGCCACAGGGACCCCTCCTAACTCTCCTTCCCACTCTCCTAGACTGCCAGGAGCTCCTGCTGCTACCACCACCAACCCCCATGGCCTACACGCCAGGTGGGGGTGCCCCTGTGGCAGGGGCGGCCCCCATAAGCTCCCAGTACTGCGTGTGCAAGGTGGAGTTGTCTGTGAGTGGCCAGAACCTGCTGGACCGGGACGTCACCTCTAAGTCTGACCCTTTCTGTGTCCTCTTCACAGAGAATAACGGCAGGTGGATGGAGGTGAGGCTCCTGTCTGCAGCGGGGCAGGGGTGGCTCAGTCAATGGGTGGGGTTCCCCCTGGGTCCAACAAACCTTTGGGGTCAGGGCCTTGCAAATACCTGGAATATGGACTGGTGCAAGGGAAGATGCAGAGAATGTTTATGTGTAAACTTTTTAATATATTTGAAATATTAATTATATTTGTGTCTACATTAAACTATAATCCATGTGTGTATACTTACATAATTTTGTATCAGTAAACTGTTATAATATACAGTTAAAAACTTTCATTTTTTTTTTTTTTTTTTTTTTTGGGGGTCTTTTTCCTTTTTATCGGTACCGGGGATCGAACTCACGACTGCCTGCTTGCAAGGCAGGCGCTTATACCACTGAGCTAAATCTCCAGCCCCCAAAACTTTTATAGTTTAAATGATCATTTATAGTAAAATGATCACTTCCAGTTTGAAATAAACTTCCTCTTGTGTTTCTGAATGAACATCATCAGTGAAAAGTAAAGAGATGCACAGGGGGCTCAGGCTTTAGACCTAGAGCCGGAACCAGGCCTGGCGGTGCCATTCCCTGCTATGTGGCCTCAGGCCAGCAGTGTCCCTGTCTGAACCTTCCACTTATTTATGAAAGGGAGACTTTATTTTTGCCTGCCTACCACAGAAGTTTCCAGAGCTTGGGACATCCAGAAAGTTCTAGCCAGGGACTTCTGAGTGGTAAGACCCTGGCCCAAGGCCTTGGGAAGGATGCAGCATGAGGAAGGAAATTGAAAAACCTGGGTGGCTCATGAGTTCAGGCTTTAGAACTTGCTTCATCTCCTGTTCCTAAGGGGACTTGTATTCACTGTAGTAAATTTAGAAAATTTACATAAACCTAACAAAGACCATCAAAACTATCAGAAGCTGTGGTTGTACAGAGAGAACTACTATTCACAGTTTGGGTAGTTTTATACATGTGTTTATTTTCCAAAATATGTATTTCCTTTTTTGGTAAATATTTAACTGGGCCATGATGGGCAATGGCTAAACTTACTGTGGTTTGTCCACAAAGAGTCTTCACAGATGTTGGCTTCTTCTCATGAGGCCAGAGCAAATGGATCTGGGACAGTGGAGCCATTTTAGAGGTGAAATGGGGCCCTCAGTGACTTGACTGTGTTGCGCAGTGCAGTGACAGTGCCACAGGAAGCAGCGATGGGACATGCAGCCACCCAGGATTCCTGGGGAAGCCCCGGGCCTCTAGGGGGCATTTCTAGGGTACCAGATCCTCTGCCAGCCCTTGAGGGCATTCCCGACACTGCCACCTCCCCCTCCTCAGTAGTCTCTGCTCCCACCCCAGGGTCATTCTGGCTGAAAATAGCTCAGGGCCAAGACCTCTTCCATCCCTGCTGCTCAAGTCTTGGAACTAGACTGGGTGGGAGAAAGTCAGCACAGCCTAGGCCCCAAAACAGACTGTCACCCAGACTCTGCGGTTTGGGGCTGCCGTGTCCAGAGGCCAAGAAGTGGGGTCCTGTCCCCTGTGCCACCACTGACACACAGGGTAGTGCTCCGTTGTCCTCTCCCAGGCTCCAGGTTTGCAGTTGGGGGGTGTCGGGTTGTACAATTCCAAGAATCCATACAGGATACAAATATCTGCCCCTGGGCCCTCCCTCTTCGTTTCCTCTCACAGCTGTCGGATAAAGTGCGGGGGTTGTTTGTTTGTTTTTTCATTTTTTGTTTTTGAGACAGTCTTGCTATATAGTGCCGGCTGGCCTTGAGCTTGCTTATGTAGCCCCGGCTGACCTTGAACACACTGTGATCCTCTTGCCCCATCCTGTCGAATGCTGGGATTACAGGCGTGTGTCACCGTGTGCAACCCAGAGTGTGGTTTGAATGAAGGGCTTTCTCAAAGTAGAAAGTCTGAAAACAGCACATAGTCAGATCCCTTCACTGTACAGAGGTGAGCCCAGGTGGGGAGCGGGACTTGCCTTCTGTCACCTACCAGGCAGGGACACCTGGGAACAGAGGCAGGGCTGAAGAGTTACGAGTGTGTGTACTAGCAGGTATAGTAGCACACTCCTGTAACCTCAGCACCCTTGGAGGCTGAGGCAGGAAGATTACACGTTTTGGTCCAGCCTGGGCAGTTTAGCAACTAGTGAGACCTTGTCTCAAAATGAAAAATTAAAAAAAGGGCAACACAGTCAGTGCCTGCTGCTCAAGGCAAAAAAAGAGTGTGGGTGTTAGAGTCAGGTCTGGGTCTTGAATTTTGGCCCTGCTTCACTAGCTGGTCAGCTCTGGTAAATCACTTAGCCTGTCAGTGCCTCTATTCCTTATTTGTGGGCTTCAGCCACACAATACCTGACCATGAGCGCAGAACAAAGTAGGTACTCAACAACGTAGAATCGTCTCTAGCCAGAGTTCATTCACCACCTTGACTCTGATCCTCTTTCCCTGCACCCCCTGCCAGTACGACAGGACAGAAACGGCCATCAACAACCTCAACCCGGCATTCTCCAAGAAGTTTGTCCTTGACTACCACTTTGAGGAGGTGCAGAAGCTCAAGTTTGCCCTGTTTGACCAGGACAAGTCCAGCATGCAGCTTGATGAGCACGACTTCCTGGGCCAGTTCTCTTGCAGCCTGGGCACAGTGAGCAGGACCCCTCCTGGTGGGTGGGAGCAGGGCTGTCCCCTCAAGATGTCAATAGCTCTGAGACCAGGATGGCCTGTTGGGGAGCCTCTCCTTCCACCTGCTTTTCCTGGCCCCACTTTCCTGGCCCTATCCCATTTTCCCCTGATGCAGGTGCAGATAGCCTGGAGAGCCAACAGGCACTGGGAGGACATAGCCAGGTGGGTTGGGACCAGGCTGCAGGTGCCAATCAGCTACCGCCACACCAGAGCCGGGGCGCCCTATGCCCAGAGCTGTGGATGCTGAGAAGCTGCCAGGTGTGGTCTCATCTCCCTGCGCAGCATCTGCCAGCAGCCAAGGCACCCACAGTGGTCGCACTTTGTGCTGACTCACTGTGCGACCTTGGACCTTTCTTTCCTTCTCCGAACCACACTTCTCATCCAGCTCAGTCCTTAGTAAGCCGCTGTTGGGAGGGAAAGGACTAGGAGCCCATGACACCGATTCCAATCGGCCCTTAAGGCATGTGCCTATGAGCAAGCCCCGACCTTGTTTTGGGTCTCAGCCCTTTGTACTTAGTGATGACAGCACTGCCCAGACTATAGGAAAGGTGAAACCATAGTAAATGTTTTGAGGGGTTGTGGTGAAGGCTGAAATGCTCTTGGCCTCCAGATGTTCATGAAAACATGGTGGCTGAACAGTGGAGGTGATGTCCTCTATTGTATAAGAAGTGGGGTGCAGCAGTCAGAGTCCCGCTATGTGTCTACACCCTCAAAGAGTAGCTGGGGAACCAATTAAGGATTTGTGGAGGAGGCAGGTGGACAACAGGAGACCAAGAAAGCAGCCTGGGGCTTGGTACCAAGGAACCTGACCACCTCCACCCTGGACAGAAGACAGGGCTGGGCAGTGACCAGTGTGCCTAGAAGGAATGCAGTGGACCAGGGCCAGTGGAGGGGGTACTTTTCAACATGCTCCACTTTTTCCTTCTATATTGTTCGGATCGTTGAACCCCATGGGCATATGTTACACACAGGGAACAGTAAACTACATACAAAGAATGGGAGTTTGGCCTCTGGGTCAGGAGGGTAGCTCTGTATGATGCTGTGAGGTGAGGGCACAGAGGGGGCTGTGCTCTGCAGTTGTTCCCACAACCTGAGTGTGACAAAGGCCTTTCCAGGGGCCACCCATGTCAGGGGAGCCTAACTGCCAGGATTCTTCTCCTGCTGGGGGATTGCAGACCAATGTCTTAACCTCTCTGGGCCCCTGCCTGCTGGCCGCCCAACCCGGTGAACACTGACAGGAGGCAGTGCATAACGTGTGCCCGTGGATGATCTGTCTTCCCGCCTTGCTGAGCTCCTCTCTCTTTCTTGCTGCCACCCCAGATTGTCTCCAGCAAGAAGATCACTCGGCCTCTGCTACTGATGAATGACAAGCCAGCGGGGAAGGGCTTGATTACGGTACCAGCCCCCTTCCAGCTCTCTACATCCCCCCTCTGCCTCCTCCCACTGCCCTCCCCCATCAATGGGCCTTTTCTCTGACAGATAATCACCAGCTTTGTTTGGAGTAAAAAGGCCCAACTTACAACTTAGCAACAGGTCTCTTAGCAACGGGCTCCACAAATGATGCACTAGAGGCTGCTGAGCTAGGGGGACAGTCAGCAGGCCCCAAAGGCAGCTCCTACACTCCCCTAGAGCCTGGAGGGCCCTCCCAGCACCCCTTCCCCACACCAGTCACTGCCCACCCCCCAGGGGCCTCTTCAGAGGCGCCTTGCTTAGCTGTGCTCTGCTGGTATCTGCCATGCACGTGATTCTTCCTGTGATGCAAACGATTCCAGCAATGTGCAGGCCAGCCCATGGATGGGCTCCTCTGCCCTCATGGTCCCAGAAGGCAGAACGATCCCATTTAGCAGATGAAGGAAGTGAGACTCAGAGAAGTCTCCCACTGGGGCAGCTGGCTGGTGAGATCACACCCGGTGCACGAGGCCTGGGAGCCAGTCACTATAGGCAGAGCTCCGAACCTGCCTGAATTTCCCATAACTATTACTCCCTTACTCGGTGAACCTCCACCGTGCCTCAGTGCCCACAGAAACACACTTCATTCACAGCTGTGCAGGGTCCATCACTCTGCACTTGGCCTTCCTGCCCTAGTTCCTTGCTGTTCCACTTAATTGTCCTGGGCTCAGGGCACGCTGAGTTTAAAACATCCTGAACACTCCCTGGATCTTCATCCACAGTGGTCCTGGCTCCTGGATTTTCTACTTCTGCTCCTCTACCTTTACCTGGGTGTTCAAAGTCAGCCTGTCAATGGCTTTCAAAGGCTAACTTCCCCACACTGAGGGCTGACCCAGAGAGACACTCCCACCCCAGGCCAGTATGTACAACGGACCCCCAGCATTTCTGTTTGTTCTAGTCTGAGCCTGAGTTCTCTCCTCTGGAAAATAGGGGCCCCTGCTCCATAGTGTAGTTGGGCAAGACCAACTAGAGGACAGGAATGAGAAAAAGAGCAATTGGAAAAGAACTGGGCCATGGTGCTGGCAGGGTGAGATGGACAACTTACCTGGGCGAGGCCATTCTAGAGGGACACAGGGTCCTGGAGGAGGCCCCAGCCTGGTTGTCACTTGGGGCATGATGGCTTTCTGGCTGTTGGTGGAGAGAAGGCCAGAGAGACTTCTCAGCAGCCTCAGTGTCACCAGATGGGCATCATTGGTGGGGCTAGGTCTGCGGACCATGGGGAAGGACGGAGGACAGCTGCGTAGTGTGAGTCCATAAGGCGGCAGAGGGAGTTGGGTGGCTGCTGGCCTCTTTGCCCAGGTGCACATAGTAAAGTGGCTATAATTGCTGACCCCTTAGTGTACTGAGCCCTCGGGAGCTGCCGGGGGTAGGTGGAGGCCTGTCATTCTGCTCCCTGTCCTGAAACCTTTCCCCGTGTCGTCACCACCACCCATGTCCTCTCTTCTGAGCTGCAGGAGGTCATTTGCTGATGCCTCATATCCAGATGGATTAAACCTCTCATTTTCCAGAAGATGGAAAACTGAGGTTTAAAGAGGATAAGAGACTTGTCACAGGTCACCTGGCACCAACCTGCTCCTCTTCCACCACCCCCAGGGCTCTAGAGTTGGGTCCTAGGCACAGGGCGCAGTGGCAGGGGAAGTAGGAGTGATCTTCCCCCTCACAACCTTACAGATTGCTGCTCAGGAGCTGTCAGACAACCGGGTCATCACGCTGAGCCTGGCAGGCAGGAAGCTAGACAAGAAGGTAAGGTGGCAAGGTGGCTTTCTTCCAGGGTAGTGTCTTTTCCCAACCCAGCTCTCTCTGGCCTTGCGTTTTTTGCCCACTGAGAACAAGACTAGTGTCTTGCAAGTTAGCACACATTGGGAGTGAGCTCCCAATCACATAGAGGCATTCAAACCACAGCAGGAAACCCACTCGTTACCACCCTATCTCACTTTATGTAAATTCCAGTGTTCTTAACAGTACTCTACCAGCCGCTCTACCCCGGGGCCCTCAGGACCCTGATTCCAGACCTCACCCTTCTGTCCCTCCCTCACACTGCTTCAGCTAATTCAGCCTTCTTGCTGTACCCAGGCTTATTTATTTTTGAAGCGCTGGAGCTAGAACCCAGGACCTCACACCTGCTAGGCAAGTGCTCTCCCACTGAACTACAGCTTCAGCCGGTTTAAACCAGATGCTTCTGTCTCAGGACTGATGCACTCGCTGCTTCCTCTTCCTGCAGCCCCCTTCCTTGAACATCCTCACACTGTCCTCCCTGCATCAAGCCTGTGAGGACTCCCAGAAATGGCAGTGGTTTTTGGTGGCCCACCTTCTCCCAATTTACTTGTTCTCTTGATAGTTACTACTGTCTCACATGCAGTCTTATCTTACTTTCTGTGCCCTTCACTTGCATATAACCTCCCTGCCACTTTTTAAAAACTTAAATGAATTTTTGAAGGCAATCACATCCCTTTAGTAATAGGATTGATTTAGATTTTTCAGAGTCTTAGTAACATAAAGTCATATCCCACGGGCCCTGGCCCTGTACCAGCAGCAACACCCTGTTTTTGGTTTTGGTTTTGGCCTTGGTTTTTGGTGGTGGGGATGAATCCAGGCCTTCACCAGCTAGGCAAGAGCTCTCTCTGTGCTACACTGCAGCCCAAACAGGCACCCTTATGAAGTTCTGCCCTGTAGAGGATACTGTTTATAGCTATAACACTTGCAAACTCTGATCCCAGCTCTTGTAGAAGAGTTCTAAGGGTCACTGGTCCCAGGGGCTGTAGCTGGGAGGCCTCTGACTTGTTTTGCAGAGACTGACACAGCAGCCAGGCTGTATCCGCAGCTCCCACCCTGCCTCCAGGTTGGGGGGCAGCCAGACCTCAGTCCTGGCCCCCTGCATCTGGTAGTGTTGTACCCCTTACCTGTGTCCTCTTGCTTCCCCCAGGACCTCTTTGGGAAGTCAGACCCATTTCTCGAGTTTTACAAACCAGGGGACGATGGCAAATGGATGCTGGTCCACAGGACTGAGGTGAGTGTGGCCATCTAACCACTCTTGCCACCTTAGAGTACGCTATGCAGTCCCAGCCACACACTTGTCACCTTGAAGGGTGACAGGGATACTTGCCTCTATCCATGGAATTGTGGCTATGGGTCCCTCTTGTCCATTCTCACTGGGTTGGCCTGAACCCAGAGCTGCCCCTTGCTGTTCTGTAGGTGATCAAGTATACGCTGGACCCTGTGTGGAAGCCATTCACTGTGCCATTGGTGTCCCTGTGTGATGGGGACATGGACAAACCCATCCAGGTGAGGGACCTTTGGGGCTTGCTCTCCACCGTCAGCTCCAGCCTCTGCAGGGAGCCTGGAGCAACTTGTCAGAGCTCTTTCTACTAAGACAGAAAGACCCTGTCTTGAAGGTGGCAGATGGGGGCAGGTGTCCTAGTCCTTGTACAGTGCACAGGGTCTTACCTCTGAGTTCCTACTCTAAATCTTGCCACCCTTTTTGGAGGGTTACAGAGCTTCTAGCTAGGATTGTGGACATGGGAGTACCTCAGAAACAATCTCACATTGTAAGGGTGGTGCCATGAGGAGGACAAGGCTGGAAACCCTCGGTCCTAGGGGCTAGGTCTATGAGTAGGTACGGTGAGGGAGGTAGCTAGGTAGGGCAAGCAGCCCTGAGTTACATTCTAGAGAACCTGGCTTGTGTTCCTGGGTGGGCACACTTCTCTGCAGTCATGGAGGACTGCCTCGCAGAGATGAATCTGTTGTGGACCAGCTGGGCAGGTACTGGGGTGGGGGGGGAATACCTGCACAGAAGATTGCAGTGGGAGGATTTTGCTCAGGGAGTTAACGGGGCAGGAAAACCCCTTTTGAGGACAGCTTTGGGGTGACCATGTTGGACCCATCCCAGGTCATGTGCTATGACTATGACAATGATGGAGGCCACGATTTCATCGGCGAGTTCCAGACATCGGTGTCACAGATGTGTCAGGCCCATGACGGTGTCCCAGTGAGTGGGGTCCCCAAGATTTCTGCAGGGGCTGGGGTGGGGTATGGAGCCTTGAGTCAGACTCAGTGGGGCTCAAATGTCACCTCTTTCTGCTGCATGACCTTGAGCAAGACTTTCAGTCTCCCCGTCCTCAGTTTCTCCATCCATCCCTGATGGCAGAGGATTCAGATGGGATAATGGTAAATGATAGCGTGCTCCCCTAGAGAGGGGTCAGGTGTTACTTAACATCGGGTGTAGACCCTCCTGGTGTGGGGTCTACACAGCTCCCTGGGGAAGGCAGCGGCCTTGTGTCAAGGCTGTGGCAGGGTCTTGAGGGCTGTGGGGAGCATCTGTCTCCAGAGCCCCCCCACCGCGCCACTGAGCTTCTGTTTCTGCCCCTGGCACTCAGCTGGAGTTGGAGTGCATCAACCCTAAGAAGCAGAGGAAGAAGAAGAGCTACAAGAACTCGGGCATCATCATCCTGCGTTCCTGCAAGGTGAGCTGACAGAGAGTGGGGCAGGAGGTTTGGGGCCACACAGAGCGCACCACTGCAGAGGGTACACAGAGCTCGGGGTCTGGAGCCAGCGAGACTAGGTGTGGGCACCACTGCAGAGGGTACACAGAGCTCGGGGTCTGGAGCCAGGAGGCAAAGTGTGCAAAATAAGTAGTATTTAACATCCTCATTAAGTTCTGAAGGTGGCTGGTTATACTTAGGTGGAGGTTGTGAAGACCGGCAGGGACTTTGGTAGTCAGCAGTTGTGACTGGTGCTAAGTCCTGGGACCCTGCATGGAATCCTGTGTGCGTGTGTCCGTGCGTGCGTGCGTGCGTGCGTGCGTGCGTGTGTGTGTGTGTCCCCCACCCACTCAGGCGTTGCTCAGAGGGCCTTATGATAGAGTGACTTGGGTTTTGTTATAATCAGATAAGGCCCACCTGCCTTTTTTCAAGTCTTTGTATTGAGACCTCAAGACCCAGAGCAACAACTCCCCCAGACCAGCAGACGACTGACTCCCTTCATTCTTTCAGATACACCGAGACTACTCCTTCCTAGACTACATCCTGGGAGGCTGCCAGCTCATGTTCACCGTAAGCCCGCCCCCGCCCCCACCCGCTTCCCAAGGGCTTGAGTCAGTGCCACAGCAGGAATGGCTCGGAATTGGCTGCGGGAAGGACTTCCCTGAGGCAGGAGTGTTGGTGGCTGCAGAGAAGAGGTCATAGGTGGTGGCCGATGCTGGTCATGACACAGCTGAGAGGTTCCCACAGTGTCTTAGGTGCACCCTTCTGCAAAGAAGATACATCAGTTCCTCCCCGGGCGCACAGCCTTCCCTCCTCTGGCCCCACTGCTGTGTCTGTGACCAAGTCCTCCTTGTCATTCCCTCCAGCCACCGGTCTGCTCTCCCAGCACCCCAGGCTCTGTGCCACCTTCTCAGGAAGACCTTCCCTGATTCATTGATAGACACTTGCCCTCTCCGAAGCCATCTCACACAATTTCACTTGTCCCTGTTTGTCCCCTCCCCATCAGCCTGTGAATGCTGTATATTTGGGCACTCTGCGTGTTTTGCTTCTCATTCAGCCTCTGTGTCGTGCAGCCCCTGGTGAGCAACAGGAGCTCAGTAGTCACTGTCCACAGAACAAAGTGCCACCTTGCCTGTGGCCCAAAACATGCCCTGCACACTCTGGACCACTCACCTGTTCTTTTGCCCTCCCATATCCTCAGGGCCAGAAAAGAAGAGCCATAGATGCCTGCTACACTCACTTTTCCCACTGCCTCCTGCTGCCACCACTGGATTCCAGGGGGCTGGGAACATTGCAGGGCCACACAGAGTCAGGAGATTGGCGTAGCTGATCTCTAACCCCTTTCTTCTCCATCTCCTTCTCTGCAGAAAGGCCAGGCCTTCCCCATGCCTCCAGGCTAGAGGGGATGGGGTTGTCCATTTGATAAATGTATGGTGAGCTCCTCTGTGCCAGGCTCTCCATGGTGCTCTACGGCATCCCTCTAGGACTAGAACTTGCCAACCCCACTTCGGGGGCCCTCCAGCAGCATGAGGATGTCATGGTGTCTCCCCCTAAAGTGACCAAAGTCCAGAGCAGCCTTCTTTCCCTAGCCCCACCCTGCTTCTCCCCTGCTGGGCAGGGGCCATGCTCACCCACCCTGTGCTGTCCCTCTTGGGGCTGGGCTGGAATCTCCTTGGGGCAGAGAAGACAAGGAGATCCCTGATCCTTGTCCACCTCTCTGAGTCCCCATTGAGCACCAGCTCTATGTGCTGTACCCAACCCTAAACTGGATAAGTCATCCACTGTGAGTACCAGCTGACTGCAGGGACAGACACAGCCCTGCCAGGAAGCCTGGGTCTCCCATCCTCAACTGAGGGACAGTGGGATAGATGGTTTGGGCTCTGGAGAAAAAGGGATCTTTGGCTGTACATCAGTCGAGTATTTTGTTTGGGCATTGGGCTTAATGCTTAGGCAACAGGGAGCCATGAATGGTATTAGAGCAGAGTGACACAATAATATAGTTAGATCCTAGGTTTCATGTCATCTTATGGGGCAGTGGGCCTGGAAGAAGAGTGGGCTTCCCAGGTCCCATCAGCATGTCCTATTCCTGGGAGTAGGATGGGGAGCTGAGGTCACTGGTTGCTCTGGGTATCTTCTCCTAACTCTCACTCTGCAGGTTGGAATAGACTTCACAGCTTCCAACGGGAATCCCCTGGACCCTTCATCTTTGCACTATATCAACCCCATGGGTACTAATGAATACCTGTCGGCCATCTGGGCTGTGGGGCAAATCATTCAGGACTATGACAGGTGAGCTTGGAGAGGGGTTTGGAAGGTCAGCTGGGTTCACTCAGCTGGGAGGCTAAGCTTTTCAGAGGGGACCCAGAGGTCTGCAAGCGCAGGAACATCAGCCTGTGGCGTGCATTCTGATTTGTCCCTTCTTTACCTGTAGCAGACATGGCTAATTGATTGCTGTACTCTTAACTGCCGATCCCAGACTCAAGCCAGATCCTTCTTCACACGAGTCACCAGTAAGGAAATGAGTCAGCACAGAAGATAACACTAGTTTGTTGTTGCTGCAGCTCCTTCGAGACTTGGGGAAATAGAGGCTAGGAGTGGGAGCCAGGAATTTGTCCAAATGTTTGCAGATCAGGGTTCTAGAAAGCCAGATACTCCAACCTCACAATCCCCACTCCTTCTGGGGTCTCAAGGAGCAGGTAGCATGCTAGACCCTCTCCCCATGACTATGCTATGTGGGGACCTCCGGGTTGGGGGTACAAGAGGCTGCAGGGGAGGAAGGAGATACAGGGAGAGCAGGTTTGGGAATCCAGTGTGCACTGGGCCTCCTTAAGAGAGTGAGTGTGATAACCAGTGTCCATCAGGCCACATTAAGAGAGGTACAGCCTGCAGAGCAAGGGAAATGGGAGTCCTATCTTCACAATATTACCATCCAGAGACTCTGGTGTCCACTTGACCACTTGGCCTCTGTAGCAAGCCATCTTGTGGGCATGCGGACTTCTCAAGGCCCCTGAGAGCCCAGGACACTGAATTGGGGCCACAGTCACCTCCTGCCCAACACATTCCATGGGCCGCTTGCTTCTGCTTTGGCTGCTGACAGTTTGTTCTCCAGTGGCAACCAGCGGGAGCCTCAATAAATGTGTGTAGAACATATGAACAGATGTCCTCTGCTCTCAGAGGACAGGAGAGAGAGAGAAAATCACTGGAGCTCTGAGAGACCAGTTTCCATGTGGGGCAGGAGCCATGGGAGCACAAAGAGAGAGGCAATATTGGGTATCAGAGAGACCCACAGAGAGAGAGAAAGGTCCATTTTGACTGAGTCATAGAGGACAAAGTAAGAGTTTGCAGTAGGGAGTAGAATGAGGCCAACTGTTGCAGGTAGAGGCACCTCGGAATTGAAGCTGAGTTAATAGCACCCTGCATGTTGCAGGAAGTGCAAGTGGCCGGAGGCAAAGGCGAGGGGAGTGAATTGTGAGAGACAGGTAGAAGGTAAAACTAGGCTCTCATGCCAGCAATGAAGGCACTTGAGTGCCCACTCAGAGTTCTCATTTTAGAACTTCTCCAGCCATAAACAGGAGGCTGAGAGACTGGAGCCATTGCACTCGGCTTTCATGATAACCTTGGTTTTGTAGCTGGCTGGGACCTTGGTTGAAGAGAGACCTAGAAACTACACCCAGGCCCACTGGTTAGAAGTGCTGTTATTGATTAACAATGTCTGCTATGGGTACAGTTAAGCCAGGTGCTACCCAGAGGTAGATTTGGGCTCTGCACACAGAATAGCCTAGCTTTCTCTAGATGTGATGAGCTTGTCCTTCTGCCCCCAGAAATGTGCAAGGCAGAAAGCTCCCCTGGGTGGGGGTCAGCAGGGGACAGCATGGGAGGATGGCCCAGATGTGACATGTTGTTCTCCTCTCCTCTCTAATTAGTGATAAGATGTTTCCGGCTCTAGGATTTGGGGCCCAGCTACCCCCAGACTGGAAGGTGAGTGGAGCCAGTGTTGGTTGCCTCTGGTTGTATGGTGTGTGTGTGTGTGTGTATAGTCTCTCTGTTAATTTTGGAGGTCCTACAGGGAGCCAGGTGCCCTGCCAGCTACCAGCTCTTGTCTCAGTTGCTCCTCCTAGCATGGGACCCTGCCTGGAGTAACATGTGTACCTCTGCTCATTCTGCGGTGCAGAAGGGAAATCAGATAGGGCAGGTAGATTCAGCAAATAGTGCAGCGTACCTGGGGACATCTGAATTTTACATCACAATGAAGCCAGGTGTGGTGTTGAACTCCTGTGATCCTAGTACTCACGAGGCAGAAGCAAGAGAATTGCTGTGAGTTCAAAGCCAGCCTGAACTACATAGCAAAACCATGTCTCAGAAAAACAACAAAACAAAAAATCCCCAGAATGATGTTCTGAAGTATAAATTTGTGCTGAATATTACATGGGGCATATGCCACATATTGCATCAAAAAAGTGCTTGTTATTATCTGAAATTCAAACTGAACAGGGCCTTGTGTGTTCAGTCCAGTATTCCTAATGATAAGCAGGGTTTGGATGCTGAGATGGGGCAGCACAGGTCTGGGGGAAGCTCAAGGGAGGGGGCCTAACCTAGCCTGAGGCATCAGGGAAGGCTTTCTGGAGGAGACAGGGTCTGTGCCTGGAGGAGAAGTAGGCATTTGCACAGTGACTTGGGTGGCATGGGGGAGGGGGTACTTTCAAGGGAGAGGGAGCCCCAGGAATCAATGTGTGAGTGAATCTCCACTGGAGTTGCTCAAGGAGAGAGATACAGGGGTATCAATGAGCAATGGAGGCCACCTGGGGTCATAACCTAATTGGAGCCTGGGAGGGATGAGGGTAAGTGAGGTGGGATGGGGATGGAGAGAAGTCAACAGGATGACTGGTGATTAAATGGGTGCAGGTCAAGGCCACCAGATTTCCAGCTGGGTGCTGGATGGGGCTGATGTCACCCACTGAGATGGGGGATGGGCCGGGCTTTGCAGGCAAGGGGAGGTGATGAGGTGGAGGTTGTGGATCACAGGGCAGAAGCAGAGGCCAGGCTTTCTGGGCTGATGACAAGCACTTTGGTAGGTGAGGTTGAGACGCAGTGGTGAGCAGGACCTGCTCAGGAAGTGGGACTGTGGCAGCCTGGCGGGGGCAGGGAGCAAATCAGAAGGTAGAACAGTACAGAAGCTCCAGAAAGCAGAGCAATTAGAAGTAGCATTAATGAGTCCCTAGAAGGTTCTGCACAGAGCACCACCTGCCTTCTTGGCTTCATTTAATTGTCACCCAAAACTGATGAAGTATAGGCCTTGTTACCCATTTGTTGATGTTTGCACCAGGAGGGCATTGTAGCAGGTCCCAGAAGGGACCCATCACTTCCTTAACCTCAAGGAGAAGCCACCATGGCACAGGCCTGTCAGGGTGGGCAAGGGCTTGCATGGAGCATGGAGATGGTGAGTGTGCAGGAGGAGGAGAAGCCAGACACACAGTCAGGAGCTGGGAAGGAGCCAGGAGAGAGAGAGGTAGAGGTAAAAGAGGGGTCCTTTGGGCGTGGGTGCCATGGACCTGCGGCAGAAGGGGGGTGTCAGGTGACCCAGAGCAGGAATTCAGTGAGACAAAGACCAGAAAACTGGAGAGCTCACTGCAGTCAGGGAAAGGCAGCACTGTCACATTTTACAGGTGAAAAAACCAGGGCTCAGGGCCCAGTGGGACTTGCCCAAGGACACCTTCACCGTGTGGGCCTGGATTCCAGGTGGGCAAATAGATGCAGACAGTTCTCCCTACATTTGTTGCCTGAGCAGCCTGTAGGGGTGGGCACAGAGGGCATAACTCTGCATATTTGTCTCTGAAGTGCCCCCTTGTCTGCCCACGTTAATAGAATGAGCTTCTGCCTCCTGATTTCTCTGGAGAGCCCATTTGACACCTAGAATTGCAAAGAGTGGCTCTGAGTGGGCACCTGGCTTTGTGCAGTCTGCAGTCCAGTCCTGTGGGGCCCTAGCCAGCCTCTGGGTAAACACAGGGATGCCACATGGGGGGCAGGGTAGGCTTGTATGGCTAGGCCCAGCACGAGCCTGTTGCTAGGACACCAGCCAGCTTTCAAAGAACTCGGCTGAATGAGATGTTTTCTTGAGCAGAAACCTCCTTGGAAATGTCACAGGGCAACACTGGGGAAGTTGGGGTTTGGCCAGGCTAAGTGCCCAGCAGTGCCAAGAGGGACACAGATATTCTGTCCCACCTGTCCTAGTGCGGAAGCCAGCCAGGCCCAGCCCTCCTTGCCCCTCACCCCCTCATTTAACTCACCTTGCTCCTGCCACACCAAGCTGACCTTTGTACTTTGCGCACGGTCTGTGCCCTGCTGGTTGCCCCTTTCACTGGGTTTCCCTACTGCTTCTCAGCTTGGAGTTCCTGTTCCATGGGAACGCTTCCTGACTACACCCACAGGGCTTCTCCCTGCCCTGGGTGTTGTCTTCTCAGACCTGTGATTTGCTTGTGACCTCTAGGGGTAAGAGCTGGGTCCTGGCATATTATAGGTGTGCAGTATTTATTGGCAGAATGGGTTTGAGATCCAGCCCAGTGAGTGGCCCTACTGGCTCTTGAGTCCTTTATAACCCACTAGGCTAGGGTAGGCACATGGGATCCATCCCCCAGGAAACTGACTGCCACAGTTTCACATGCTCCCACATTGGCCCTGTTACACCACTGAACCCCTAGACCCTAGTCCAGATCTGAGGGGTCAGTGTCACTAATCCTAGGTGAGGGAGATTTCCTCCTGAGTCTTTCTTCCTGCTAAGATCTAAAAAGCCTGAGCAAGTGGCCCTGTAATTATGATCCTCACACAGTGGCCATGAGGATGAAGAGGCCATTTCCCAGGGCTCTTCAGCCCCACAGTCTACGGGGCATTGCCAGCTTACAGTAACCCAGAGCTATACCAGGCTCTACATAAGGCCTCAGTTTCCCTATAATGGAGTGAGTGTGTGGTGTCTGAGGTGGAGGCAGAAGCTGATGTGGAGGATCAGCAACCTAGGGGCAGGTAGGGTAAAAAGCCAGGTGGCTTCCAAGGGACCTCAGCATAACAACAGGGGTCCTGGGCCAGATTTGGGCCAAGATGCTCCCAACTTAGCATGTCCTTTACATTTCAGGTCTCCCACGAATTTGCCATCAACTTCAACCCCACCAACCCTTTCTGTTCAGGTGAGTGTATCCTGCCTGTGTCTGCCCTAGGTGTGCAGTGGCCTGGCCATCTGTCTGGGTGAAGGAGCCAGGATGCAGATTTCTGTCCCTCTCTTGTATCCCCTTCCTGTCACACTTGTTCAGAATGACAGGTGGGGATGAGCTAGAGTTTGGAGTCAGACAATACTGGGTTCAAGGCCAGCTGCTGCCATTTCCTGGCTACAGGGCCTGAGAGAGCCTTTGCCCTCTTACTTGGCCCAGGAGTTGTGAGCCCTGCTTACCTTATTTCCCTGGGTGGCCAGGGGAGAATGACAGGGAGCAACTGACAGGAAGGCTGAACAAACTAGGAGGAGGAGGACACATCACACATCTTTCCCTGCTGCCCGTCTCGCTCCCTTGTTGGGAGGCCCAGCTTGCTCTCTAGCCCTTCAGGAAAAGCCATGGAAGGTGGAGGCAGGGCTGGGCAGTGAATGGGATGAATGTTCACCCTGCTTTGGGCCTCTGAGAATTTCTGAGCCTCCCAGCAACTGAGAGAGAAGGATAAGGGAGGGGACCCACGAGGCCCCACCTGGAAGAGGCCCACCATCTCGAGGCCCTACTGGCTAGGGTTTGGCTTAGGCCATAGCTTCTACCTGCCCTCGGGATACAAAGCCTCGCCAGATTTGTATTCAGAAAATTCATGGAGTATTTCCAGCTTGGGGCATTGTTGTAACTTGGAAACCATGGACATCTAGACATGTGGCCTTGTGCTCCTGCAGGGATCTGTCTGGTTTTGGGGTTGATCTCCAGAGACTTTGTTAAGCAACTTCTGCCCTGATCAAAGGCCTTCTAGGCAGGAGCACAGGGCAGTGGAATACTTGTGGGCTCGTAACAGCAGCTATTATTGAGCACCTACCGTGTCCCCACCTCACGCCAACACTGGAGAGAGTATCCAGAGTGGATGTCCACATGGCTTCCCCTAGTCACTGCAGGCTTTGTCAAGCCCCTTCTCTGGGAAGAGCCTGTTGGACCCATCATACCTTCGCCCTAGTCTGTAGATTATCAGTGCCACCAACAGACAAGGAGACAGGACCCACAGCCAGGAAGTAGCCCAGGCAGGATTCCAGCTCAGTGGCTTTACATTCAGGGCTCTGGATTTTTACCACCTTGCTCTACCCTTGGGGCTTCCGGTCTCCTGGCATTACCTCAGCAGCGGTGACGTATGAGCAAGAGGCTCAGGGCTGGGGGTGGGTGATGGGTTTTGCCCTGACGTGGACTCTCCTTCTGAGCTAGGCGTAGACGGTATCGCCCAGGCATACTCAGCCTGCCTGCCCCACATCCGCTTCTATGGCCCCACCAATTTCTCCCCGATTGTCAACCACGTGGCCCGGTTCGCGGCTCAGGCCACACAGCAGCAAACGGCCACGGTGAGTAGGCGGCTCAGGCATGCACCTGCAAGGATGGGACTGGCTGTGGCTGGGCACCTGCCTGACACAAGGGAGGGCTGGGCTGGGGTCTGCGCTTTCTGCCCTCCTGCCCGCCTGCTTTCCCAGGGCTGACAAGGGGGATGGTCTACCTTCCCTTGATTCTAAATGTCTAGATGAAATGATGCCTTGGTTTACCTGTTCAGTAACAAGCTAAGCTCAGCTGGCTGGGTCCCAGCTTCCCAGAGCCCATACTCAGAAAGCAGTTTCCTACATGCTTAGTAGAAAACAAGGAGCCTCCCTAGGGTGAGGTACTTGCTATGCCCAGGACAGATGGGCACTAGGAGACCCCATCCCTCTCAGATCACCTGGGTCCAAGTGGAGCAGCCTCTGCCTAACACTGAGGGTTACAGAGCTGTCTGGGTCTGCCTAGGGCTGAGTCATGAGGTCAGCACCATGGTGGCTTGCCTGAGGCCACCATGGCTGAGATGTGGCATCTGGAATATATGGCAAAGGATAATCCTTGGCCTCCCTGGACCCCCTGCCTCACCCTCATGAGTGGCCTTTGTCTCCTCTGAAGCTTGAGTTGAAGGTCTTCTCCCCCTCTTCTGAGGACAATGTCCCTGACATCACCCCTGTCCTCTCCCAACTCCAGGGATGTGACTGGGCCTGACTGACCAGCAAGTCCTACAAGTAGGACTTGCCGGGCCCTGTCTCCAGCCTGCTTTTCAGGCTCAAGCTATATGGTGGCATCTAGCTCTGAAGTGGCAGATTCTGGTCTGGACCAAGGAAACTTGAGTCCATTTCCCTCCTGGCTGCCACCCATGGGGAGACCTCAACAAAACCCAGCCCCTTTTGGTTTCTACTTCCAGTGAAAGGGAAAGGAAGCTGGAACTTTTAACCCTACTCTAAAATATGACCTGGATTTCCCCATGTACCCATTGCCATGGCCCCACCGTCTCTCACCTTGAGCCCAGGGCCAGTCCCAGTGCTCCACTGTCTGCCGAGTACAGATGCGAGTAATAGCAGGACCTGTTTAGAGGTGGGTGTTATTAGAATCAAATGAGGTAACAGAAACTGGCATCTAAAAGACTTAAAGGACGGGCCAGCAGAGAATTCGGTGGAAAGTAGTCTAGGAAAGACAGCACAAAGTGCAGAGGTGGGCCCAGGGAGGGAGGAAGTCACAGTGTGGGGAGGGAGCGGTACAGGTCACATCATGGGAGTGAGACTGATCCATCAGCTGTAGTCCCAGACCTTGGCAGCTGAGACCGCAGGCCAGTCCCTTTCTCACTCTCAGCCTCTTTCCCTCTAGTGAAACGGGAGTAGTGAGCCTCTGGGGTGCGGGAGGTGAGGATCTGGACCCCCAAAATGAGCAATAGCTCAGGAAGGCCCAGGAGGGGCATTTTTGTTAATTCCTGGAGGCTTGGAGTAGAACAGGTTGGCGAGGACAGAGCAAGAGGGGCCGCCTGCAGCAGCTGGCAGCTTCCACTCCCTCCCATCAGGATGCCAGGCCACCACCCCACCCAGTCTCTTAGCAGCCTGAACTCTCAGGGGGATTCAAAACAAAGCCTGTATTTTCCTCCAGGAGACACAAGTGGAGCAGGGAACAGGAATGCAGCCCAGCATTGGTGCCAGGATCTCTCATCGGCTGTACCTGCCCTGCCTGGAGAGGACCCAGCAGGAGCTGGAGTCCTGTAAGATCTAGGCCCGAGTCCACTAGACCCCAGGTTGGAGAGGGTTTGGGACCCTAGGGGAAACCAGGAAAGGTGTTTTTTGTTATTTTTTTTCCCCCAAGTATTCCGGATTGAACCCAAGTATTGTATTACTGAGCTATATCCCCTATCCTTTTATTTTGAGACAAGATCTCACTAGGTTGCCCAGGGTGGCCTTGAATTTACAATCCTCAAACCACTGCCTCTAGGGTATCTGGGATTACAGTCATGCACCACTACACCTGGCACAAAGGCTGTTTCTGTGTCCTGGGGGACGGCTGCCATGGGCCTTCTGGAGAGGAGAACGTGACTCTGCCTCTAAGAAAAGGGACCTGAGACCTAAGCATGAGACATCTGGTCCAGACCCTCTGGCCATCCAAACTTTCTTTTTATCTTCTCTGCTGCTCCCAGCTTCCTCCTAGTTGCCTCCCTTTGGTAACTGCTGTTGTCTATTCAGGCCATGTGACCTTGGACCGTCTTTCTGCAACTCAGGGCTGTGAAGAGTGGGGCCAGGGCTCTCTACTGGTCTCCCACTCTGTGGTTCGGGACCCAGCCATCGGCAATTCCTGAATCAGAGTATACCTGATCTCAGGGTGTGCCAGAGGTAGGGCAGGGGGCCCGTTGAACTGGTTCAAATTCCATGTCCCTCTCTTCCTGGCTGTATGACTAGGGCAGGCAGCTTGAGCGCTCCAAACTTATTTCCTCACATAAGAAGCAGTACCTGCCTTACAGAAGTATTGGTAGAATTCAAGTAGATGGGCAAATAAATTGTTCAGCCCAGTGCCTGGCACACAATAAGTGCTTCCCTGGTGGCTATTTCTATTTCTGGGGACACCTCTCAGGCTAGCATTGGATGATGTCGAGCAGTTAGGCCTATAGAAGAAGGAAGTATGTGGGGTTATCTGACCCTTTTGTTCAGCCATGTGTTGGCTTAGGGGGAATCTTTGGTGCAGCTTCACCCTCCCTGTCCCCAGACATATGCACATATACATACACCCTTGTACAGGAAACAGAGAGAGGTGGTAGAGGATCCAGGCAGGCCTGCGACTCCAATTCATTCACCACACATGTCTTCTCTGGCAAGTTTCTGCCCATCTCAGGGAGAGCATGGCGAGCGAGGTCTGGGCTATGCCCTTCTGTGGGGATATGAGCAGTGACACCATGTGACTGTGATGGCAGTGCATTGTATGACCACAGAGGTGGCCTCTAGCCAGATAAAGCTCAGGGAAAGCTTCTTAGAAAAGTGGGCATCCAAGCCGAGACTCGAGGTGCTTCGGTGTTAGCTTCCTGGAGGATGTATGTGTGGACTGTCCCAGCAGAGGGCTTGGCATATGAGTAACTGGCAGAAGAGAAGGCGTGTAGTGTAAGAGGGCTGTGAAGTTGGAAAGGTAGGGACCTTGGGAGCCATTAAAGAGTCTTGATTTTCTCCTGAGGGGAGTTGTGGGGGCCCTCTGAAGGGTAGTAAGCAGGATTGGACGGGCTAGGGGAACTTCTGTCATGGTCCTTTATCTTTTGCTCTGCTTTGTCTCCCAAGACCCAGGCCTTGCTATTCATAATCCTTTCCTGGTTAGCAACCTAGGCAACTCCTGTTCCAGTGAAGGAAGAGCCATAAGCAGCCAGCACTCTGGGGATTTTCTCCACTCCCATCCTGAGGGCCCTTGTCAGCCAGCTTCTCAGAAATAAGCTAGTGGGGAGCACAGCTTCTGCAGACTCTGCCTAGAACTGTTATGGTCAAGTCAGTGTCTTACAAATGTAATCACATGTTACATGCATTAGAGTAAGCAGCTATTTGTAGCTCTAGAAGTCTTGAAGAACCCCTGGGAAGAGGAAAGAGATACTCCATCCTTACACTGTTCAGGGATTTGAGTTGGGAAAGTCAACTTGATGGGTTGGATTTGTTCCTGAGTTCTGGACAGGGTGCTAGACCCATGAGATGCAGCGAGGGTACATAGGGTTGTCCTAGGGAGAGCTCAGGGCTTGGGGAGGAATGTGCAGAGGAGCCCTCCCAAAGGGCAGTGGAAACAATTTTGGAGCTGCAGGGAACCAAGAAGTTTCACGTGTTTGGGACAGAGAAGGCAACACTCAGCTAGGTCTTGGAGCTGTGACTGGGAAAGGTCCCCAGGCAGAGGGAAATAACCAGGAAGGAAATTAGAGGCAGAACACCGGGGTAGGCCGGTGGCCAGGGCAGTCAGTGGGGAGAGCAGAGCCTGCAAAGCCTCTGCAAAACCCTGCCCTATTTCCCCCTGCATTCTCCCTAACCGTGGACCCTCACGCCTCCCCTTTGGTCTGTCTAGGTGCTGGGCTGTGGTTCCTGGGTGGTAATGAATAGGTGAGGCTACAGGCAGCCCTGATTCCTTCCAGGCTGGGCAAGAAACCTGGGCAAGAAACTCATCAATTGCACTTTCACTGCCAAGGCTGCCCAGGCTGCTGACCCCAAGCCTGGGCACATGGTGCAGGTACCACAGCAATGAAGATTCACAGCCAGACTGCTATCCTGGCCATGCAGGCTGCTGTCCTGGCTCTGCAGGCCCTCAGACACGAGAGTCCTGGGTGAGAGGAGAGGTTGCTTCCAGCCAGGCTAACCATGACAGGCCACTAGTGCCAGTGGGTAGCAAAAGGGACATCAAGGAAAGAGCTCCAACTGTGGGGTTAAATGGACTTGGGCTTGAATCTGGACTAGCACTTCCTGGCTGTGGGGCCTTAACAAATCACTTAACCTTTCTGAGCCCGACAGCTCATGATGAGACTCACAATGGAAACAGACAGGGAGGGTCTGCCACACTGTCATTGTGTAGTTCCCATGGCCTGTTCACTGGTATCCATAATCCTGCAGGAACCTGGGCCTGTCTGCACTCCATCCCTCGGATGGGGACTGCAGGCAGGGAAGGAGCCCTGGCTTCCTGAAGCACATGACTGATTGAAACAGGAGCCAGGAGCTGAGAGAGCCACACAACGAGAGTGGAACTGCATGTCAGTGCTGCCAGGGCCTTGGAGACAGGTCCTATTCACTGACTGGTGGAGTCCATCAGATCACAGTCCAGCATTCTTTTCTTCCCTCATTGTCAGGCCTCTTTGTGCCTGCCTCCTGCCAACCCAGGTGCCCCAGAAGTACTGCCCCGGGCTAATTTTAGTGGGATGAGAGTGTGGTTAAGAGCCACCTAAGGGAAGAAGGGTCTCTGTAACAGTGGTACACTGTAAGGGGACAGGGCCTAGATGAATTTGTGAGGCCCCCCAAACCAGGGATTGGGGGATGGCAGCAGCAGCCCTCCACTGCAGGATTCAGGCTGCTATTTCCATGGCAACAGGTATCCCAGCAAAGGGATTGGTCTCTTAAAGGCACAGTGCCAGAGCTGGACTACTGCTGTCTAGAGCTGGGGTGAGGATGGCAGAGCCTGTGTCTCATTGGCTCATCCCATGCTTCCCTGCACAGTTTATACTTAGGGCACAGACAGGAAAGGGCTGAGCTTGTAGCTTCTGTGGGTTGCCTAGGGAGTAAATAATTTTGCTGGATGAGAATGTGGCCTGGGCTTACCTGGGGTCACTTTAGCCCTCCTTAGCTCTATGACCTTGACAGGTCCATTTTCTACTCTGACACCCAAAAGGGTCAATCTAGAAGTTCAAAGCCCTCAGAGAATCCTAGCATCACAAGGGCTTCTCTATTTTATGGATAGGAAAAACTGTTTCCTGAAAAAAGGCCAGAAGTTGCTAGGGACAGGGGAGGGGTGGGAATGTGGTGCCACCCATCCAGGGGCTGTGGGCCCACATGTGAGACCTTCTGTCCTATGAGTTTCTTGAACTTCATTCACCCTCCCCACAACTGCCACTGTTTATATTTTATCTCCTCATCACTCACACTAATTATTCAGTATGTTTTTTTTTTTTCTGACTTTGAGAAAGGGTCTTGCTTTATTTATTTGAGACAGGGTCAGGCTGGCCTTGAACTCATGGTGATCTCCTGCCTCAGCCTCCTGAGTGCCAGGATTACAAGTGTGTAATGTCACGCCAGGCTTATTGACATAATTTATAAAGAAACATTGTATTGGGGCTGGGGATTTAGCTCAGCAGCATAAGCGCCTGCCTTGCAAGCAGGCAGTCATGAGTTTGATCCCTGGTACCAATAAAAAAAAAAAGAAACATTGTATCTCACTGTATAACAGAGGGTAATGACAAAATTAAATAGAACCAAGAGGACAGTGATATGAGAGTGCAGCTGAACACATTGCCTCCTAAAGCTGTGAACCTTTTGCCTTTTATCTGCTGCTACTAAGGAAGGTTTGAAAGTGTTAATGGGATTAAAGACACTAGCACCAAAGTGAGGCTGCCTCCTAACAGTCTGTAGACTGGAAAGACCACTGCTGGGTCTGCTAGTAGGGCAGGCTCTTCCTGCCCTGATTTCATGGTCCTGTCCAATGCCACGTCTGGGAGGTGACCCACATCAACTTATGAGAGCCTTTGCCCATAGGACTTGCTTTTAGCCCCTGTGAGGTGTCCCCTGCTTATACTGAGTAAGAATGGATGGGGGCTTACAAAGGGGTGTTTCTGCCCCAGTGTCTGTCAGCCAAAATAAGGCTTTCTGTACAAGCCAGAGTCTCTCGGAATGAAGCTAATGACAAGTATGGAGGCATGATTTTTTCTTCCTTCTGTGTGTGTGTGTGTGTGTGTGTGTGTGTGTGTGTGTGTGTGTTAGGACTTAAAAGGACCTCAAGCATGCTAGGCAAGCATCCTGCCACCAAGAAACATCCCCAGCCCTTTTGTAAATTTTATTTGGAGATAAAGTCTTGCTGCTTGCCCCAGATTGGACTTGGACTTGCAATCCTCCTGCCTCAGTCTCTCCAGTAGTGGGATTACCATGCCTGACTCAAGAATGTTATTTCTTTGAGCAGTGATCTCCTGTGTGCAGATGAAGAAACTGAGGCCTGGCATGTTAGGCCAGCTGCCCAGAATCCCGTGTTGTAGTGGCTGGCAGAACAAGGGAGTGTGAGGTGACAGACAGGCAGGAGTGCTTTCTATGCTTCTGTCACTAGGCCTATAGGGCAGGGAACCCAAGGAGGCAGGATTCTGGGATTTGGCTGCTGCCTTCCTCCCAAGAGCGAAACGATGGGAGCAGGGGGAAGGAAGAAGGAAAAGGAGTTCCAGGAGCCTCAGGGCCTTGCTGAGTGCCCCACTGACTCCTCCCTGCAGCAATATTTCATCCTACTCATCATCACGGATGGTGTCATCAGTGACATGGAGGAGACGCGGCACGCGGTGGTGCAGGCTTCCAAGCTGCCCATGTCTATCATCATCGTGGGTGTGGGCAATGCTGACTTTGCTGCCATGGAGTTTCTAGACGGGGACAGCCGCAGGCTTCGCTCCTACACTGGCGAGGAAGCAGCCCGTGACATTGTGCAATTCGTGCCCTTTCGAGAGTTCCGCAATGTGAGTGGGAGTCTGGGCCAGGAGGGGTGGTCCCAGGGCCCCAGCAACCATGGCTCCCAGTTGAGGATAGAAGTCTTGAGACTGACTGGTTTAACCGTAGTCTCTTCCTCCTCAGCCCCAGTGACTCCCTGACTGCCTGCAGTGCACTGGTGCTGTGTTAGGCCTCCCACTGGCTTCTGTAAGCCATGGAAACATATGCCAGGAGCCTGTCTGGACCAGGACTCCCAGCAGGGGACCTGGACAGCAGACCTCTGACAGGGGTCCTAAATGAGGAGCTGACCTTGTGAGGTGAAGCGTTTCAAGGCAGATGGAGGGGCTATGGCCAAGGTCATAGGAGGGGACAGACTTTCCTGCTTTACATCTTAGCCAGCCCCTCACTCTAGAGACAAAAAGTAAGGATTGGCTTTAGGCTGGCCTCTCCCCTAAGTTCTTGGCAAGGGGGATGTGCCTGGAGGTGACTCTTGCCTTATTTGCACTGATCCCAAGTCTGTCCACAAGGAGGTTGGGGCTGGTAGCCAGGTCCATGAAGAGCCCCACAGGGGAGCAGTGTCTTAGATCCACCCGAGCGTGGCCATCCTGGTCCCAACCTTCCATCTGACCAGAGGTTCCGTGACCTCTTGCTCCATTTGACCCCTCTAAGCCTCAGAATGCTATAGCTTAGATTCTGGCAGCTTGTGTCAGCAAGAGGGGTCCCAGTCCAGACAGATTCTAGACATCTCAGTCTAGAATCCTTGGGATTTTCTGGAGATGGCGCCTTCCTCTGGAGCATTAGGTTCCTGAGGACAAACTCTGGACACTGATCACCCATTCATGCCTGGGACATGACCAAGTGCCTCTGCGTGCCTGGCTGTTCAGCAGCAAACCAGTCACAGCCTCCAGTCATGGAGAAGCTCAGGAAACTTGGCAGTTGAGTAGGCTGTGCAGCATCTCTTCCCCCTAAAAGCCTCCCACTGGCAAATTCAAGCTAAAACGCTATTCTCAGACATCTCCAGTGCACAAGGTGTGTTCTATTAAATGTCAAGGAAGACACTGCTGTGGTGAGATTCAGGCACAGGCAGGGGTGAGAGCCACCAGTTTTTAAACTTCCCAGCCTGTCAGCCCAAAATCTGTCCTCTGTAGCCCGCTGTCACAGCTGTCTGGGCACCATGCCCCTCCCAATCTCTGTTCATTAATCTTTGTTTTCTCTCCTCCCTACCATGCCCTGGACCCTGCAGGCAGCAAAAGAGACTCTGGCCAAAGCTGTGCTGGCGGAGCTGCCCCAACAAGTTGTACAGTATTTCAAGCATAAAAACCTGCCCCCCACCAACTTGGAGCCTGCCTGAGCCCGTGCCTAGCAGCAGCAGAAGCATGCCACCCTCCCCAGGAACGTGCATGCTCACCCTGCTTCCTTGTGGGTGGCATTTTTTACCAATCCACATTTTTATTTTTTACAATCAGACCTTGGTCCCCACCCACCCCCAGCCTAGCTGGGCTGTGTCCAAGTCAACTGATGATGCTTCCAAGCCAAACTGGCAAACCAGCTTCCTCCCCATCCCATCCCCCTTGCTGCCCTTAAGTATTGAATGTACTTTGTATAATTTTAGTGGAATTATTGTTATTAAAAAGAATAAAATTTTTACAGTCATAACTGGCTTTGTCCAATAACTAGCTGCAAAAAGGAACGTGTCCCTGGTGCACACTTTGTGTCATTGCCTGCACCCAATTCCTGCTGTTTTTTATACTGTGACTATGTCCTATTTGTTATACTCAGGGTAATAAAGGAGTTTCAGATGCCCCTGTGTAAGCTGCTTCTTCAGTGGGGACCCCATGGGTTTAATATCACTGGAAGATCCATTTCTGCTACCTAGCAAGTCTGTGGAACTGGGATAGTCACTTGTGTGGGGGACCTGCATTTCCTGACAATGGTGAAACTGGTACAGAAGGTGGCTCATTGTACACATTGATATTTCTGCATGAAAATAATGTACAAGCCCACATCAGTATTTCTGCAAGGTCCAGCGAACTCTCCCACTTCCTCCCTTCCCTCTTCCTCTTGGGCCACACCATGACCTATGTTCCTCCCCAAACCCAGCTAGATTATTTGTTGCAACCTACTTCAGACTCCTCTGGGTCTTCTAGGCCTTGTGGTCTGCAGTGTGTGAAAGCCTCTTTGGCCTCAGGACCTTGTAGGGTTAGCGCTATTCCTCCATCTTTGCTGTTTCCACTGCATTCCGCTCTCTAGACACAGGTTCAGCAAGCAGCCAGAGGACCACTCTTGGGAACTGTCCCATCCCCTTCTCCCAGTTCCCTCTTTTGCACATAAACATCCCTTCCTGTTCTACCTCCTCTGAAATTACAGCCCCTTAACAGAAGCAGTGTGTCACCAGTAACAGGTAACATTTCTGTTGGTGTCCAGTTCTCTGAAGAGTGCTTTGCCAGAATGTGTACATATGCACCCATACACTGGGGATTAAACCTAGGCCCTGTGCATACTCTGCCGCTTAGCTACATTCCCAGCCCTGCCTAAGGCACATCTTGAACCCTTTCCACAGCCCCTGACTAGAAGCACTTTGGATGGAAGCACATGGAACAGCAGATCAGGCATACTTGATATATATATATATATATATATATATATATATATATATATATATATATATGGCTGACTGTGCCCACACTGGTTCCGCTGCATCCAGTGCTTTCCTGGATTCGCAAAGGCTTCTTCTGGTGAAGTTACTAACTGATGGCCTTGGTTCTTCCACTCTACTGCTACTGGTTATTTGTCCCCAACCATGCTGGAGGTTAGCTGTTGTTACTAGTGGCCTGCTCAAACTGGACAGTAAAAGGCAGGTCCCATTTCTAGGTGCCCAGCAAGCTCAGGAGTCAGTTTAGCTGGTGGGAGTGAGAGGCACCTTCATCCCAAGTTTTATTCAATGCCTCTGTGACCTCTATAGCTACCAGGAACCAGCTAAAGTGTATCTTCTTCTCTCAGAGTTGCTGGCATGCACAGAACCCTGATTTGTGGAAGCCTTCAGGAAGGCAATGCCTCCATTACCCAGGCCACCCACATGGATGGAATCTAGTACTGGCATATCTGGCTCATTTTGGCTCACTTCCCCAGCTCACTACAAGACAGACATTAGCACAAGACTGCCTGTTTACTCGCATTGGGTAGCTAAAATCACTAGTGGATGTCACATCCAGGTGAGTCTGTGTCTTTCCAACCTGGGAGAATCTGTCAAGTCCAACTGGCTGGGGCCTCTCCACAGCAGCCTTCTCCCAGACCTATGTTTCTATGACCTTCGAGGGGGTGCGCTGAGGTGACCACTTCTCACACAGACCTCCCACCTTGTTCCTTCCTTGCTATTTTCCGGAATAATTTCCTAGGCTGGTAGAGGAGACCAATGTCTACTGGGCTAGGTTAAGGCAGAGTTCCTGCCTTGCACGTGGGTCTGTCCCCAGTGTTCATGCCCTGACAGACCAGGCGTGTGGGCCACAGCTGCTGCTTTCAGGCCTCACATGGTGGGAGACCCAGGCCCCTTTGCCTGAGACTACAGAGCTGAGTCAAGCATGCTTTGTGTTTCTGGCTGGCTTCAGTTCACAGCAAAAAAAAAAAAAAAAAAAAAAGTGTCTGAACATTAGACAAGGGTGCATTTTTTTAAAATTTCAAGCCTTGATGCTGCTACTTGGCTCTTCCAGATGGACATCAGGCTGAAAGGCAGACTTAGAAACTTGACCAAAAAGACTCCACCTTTGCCTGGGGACTCCTCCAGAGGCCTGGGCACTGACATTCATTTAAAACTTTCATTAAAGTCACAGAAAACTAGACCTAAAGTCTCAAATGAAATTCTTTTTCTGCCACCTAGCTGTCAGCTGCCAGGCAAGTCACTGAGCCACTGGGAATTTTAGTTTCCTGTATAAAATGTAGAGAAAGGCTGCTTCACAGAATACTTTTCAGGATGAAAGATACTACCATCCACTAACATAAACACCCAAGTTCCCTAAGCTGCTTAGCACATCCATGGCAGTATGTACTGAATGGAAGAGATCAACATGAGGGATGATTACATGCATGATTCTCACTGAAAGAGGAAGAGTGCAGGCTACCCTACAGCATAAAGCCCAGTGAAGATTTCTCTGCTGCTGGGGCCACATTCTGCCTGCTACTGCGGAGACTTCCTCTCCCCTACAGCACTGCTCCAGCAGGTAAGAGAACAAACCTCGGCCCTTGCCAGCATCACTTAAGGAATGAATGTGCGACCTGCTTCTTGTGTTCAACCTGTGACTGCTAAAGTGTTGCCAAGATTCCAGCCTCCCACTGAGCAGAATTTGCATTCCACTTTGGTATGTGTAACCAGGCTGGGCACGCCAGGAAATCAAAAACACCCAAGTCCAAATGGCTGCGCACTGCCACTGAGCTTGTTTTTCTAGAGAGGCTTAAAATGACAACTGGACCATATACCCAGAGCTAGGACACGAGTCAAGGAATGGAGTGTGCCAGAGCAATTAACATTTAGCAGACAGGCTTTACACCAGAAGCTGGTGGTGGAGCTATGACAACCAGATCTGACCTCTTGGCATTTCAACATGCTAGCTGCAACTGAGGAATGCCAGTGTCCAACAAGCACAAGAAAGCCACATGAACCCATGCTCTGTCACCTGACTCCGAAGCAGGGAGGCTCATGTGAACAACATTAATGAGGACTGCCACTGTCTACCGAGCATCTATATTTTCTCTTACCCTCCTCAGGAAAACAGTGGCATTATTCATTTCCCAAGGAGCAAAGTGAGGTCCTTCTACACCTTGACCAAATGACATAGCTAGTGGATGTCTGGCTCCTAGTTTGGAATTAGCACAGTGTACCTGCACAAGGTGGGACAAGGAGTTCCCAAGAAGGAGATGCAGAAGCAGCAGGATGGTTCAAGCAAATGGAGTTTCTCTCTGGTGGGAAGCAGGCAGTGGGAAGGAAAGAACTCAGGATACTTTAAACCATCTCTAGCTTACTTAGAATACCCAATACAATGCAAAGGCTATGTAACTAGCTGCTATATGCTACTGTCTACAGAAAAAAACAGTACATGTTCAGTATAGACACAATTTCTTTCCAAACTTTTTCCATCTATAATTGGTTGAATCCAGAAGCAAAACCAGCTCACCTGGAACACCAACTTTACATTTTTTGGTTTTATGCAGTGTTTCCTTCCATCCTTACATATCTTATTCTTCTTTGGATAGAACCACAAAGTCTACTTTGGATGCCACTTTCCCTGTTGGTAGGTACACACCCTCCTTTGCTCCCCATAGTTTCTACAGAAGCTGTGTTGCACTTCTAAGGCTCTATACGGATAAGCACAATAGACTACAATGAAAGGAACACAGAGACTTAATCTCTCCTGAGTACAGAGCTCAGTCTGAAGACTCCAATCTGGCTGTGATGCTTGGGACAGCTGGAGGCCCAAGATGCAGTACAGAAGCAAAAGCTCCTTTTCTGACAGATTTATTGGATTTGAAGTCCCTGTATGGTTTTAATCCCTGCAATCCTTTGTCAACTTCTTCAGACATCAAAAGAGGCCATGAGGTATAGTAATGACCTCTGAAGTCAAATCACATAAGCTTGGTGACTTTTTATTTCCTTAGCCTGCCTCCTGAAATTATTCAGTGTTGCTCTGGGTATATGTTGCAATCATGACAGCGTGATCATGGGAACAATGAAGCAGTGAGGCAGAAGGTGCCTACAGTTTTACCAAAGTGTCTTGTTTGTGAGGATGCAGCTGACACACCCATACTGACAGGAACAATTAGCACCAAGAAGTCCTGAAAAGGCAGAATTCATGAGGCATCAATTATGGGTGAGAGGAAGCCACCATCTGCCAGTGGGCACCAGAGTATCACCAAACTGGAAAGGGAAAAGAAGTGGGCTGGATCAGACCTAGAAGCCTCTCTGCCCACGTTAAAACTGAGTAGCTTCTTTGCCTGTCAGCAGCATCACAGTATCAACACGTTCTGTGTGTGTCTTGCTCAGTCTCACACCTGAGGAAGCTAAAACAGTTGATGCTGATGCAGGAACCAAGCAAAAGAAAGAGCTGCACAGGCTCACTCTCCCAAGGCAGGGACACCCAGATTGTTTTTAAACCCATGCCCGAGGCCTCCTCGGCCTTTCCTCCCTACACCTCCCTCCCACCTACTCAGTTCTAAGCCCATTTCCCTGTGAGACAGAAGGGGCACAGCTCCTCTGGTTCTTGGCTGCTCATGGCCTTGGAGCTGCTGTTTGGGAAGGGAAAGAGCAGTGTGGCAGTGGATAAAAGAAAGTGCTAGGGCAATACTTTTAGTCTTGCAATTGCTTCCACAGTTAAAAGCCACAGCTATAATATGAATGAAAACGAGAAGTACCTCGGTGAGGTGCAGAGCAATCATAACACACAAGCATGCCCTACTAGTTTAGAGTATTTGGATTGCAGAAGCTGCTAGAAATGTCATCTGGCTAACATATACACCAGTGATTCTGGTTTCTGGCCATGTTAAATAAAGCCTCTGCTTGTTTCTCTAAGGTTTAGAATCTTAAACTATATCTTTTATTTCAAAATCGAAAACAAAATAACTTGCCAGGCAGAGAAAAAAATCTGAGTAGAAGATGAAAGCTTGCTCGTTACCAGCCCATTCCTATACAAATGGGACTGGATGGAGAGGAATGGCCAACATTAAGGGAAACTTCACAATGAAGACTGGTAACTGACGTGCCCCACAGAGAAATTTCATTATTTTTCCTTAGCACACAACATGTTCCACAATGCAGTAGAACCAAATACACATTTGTCTACAATAAATTTTAAGGAACACCTGTGCAATAACTGCCCTTGTTTCCTGTGCTGTTGGGAAAGGAAAAAGTGAAAACAAGAAAGCAACAAAACCCAGCAGCACCCTTTTGCAAGCCAGCTAGTATGATCCCTTGGTACTGTCACAGGAGCTCCTGCAGGCCACACCCACCCTGCCATATCAGTGAGGAAGAGGCAGTGAGACTGGTTTGGTCATCTGCACTACAGTGGAAAGGAGACCACAGTTCTGGCCACAAGTGGATCTGGCACATTTTTAGGTGAGATTTTAAAAGTGTCACGGTGTGCACACAGGGCCGGCAAAGGAGTTTTTAGAGGGAGGTAATGAATGCCTGGCGGCAGAATGGACAGTCCAACTGTTTTAGGGGGGCCTTCCTGTTGAAGAACAGGAGTTAGGGTGCCTCAAGGAAGGTGTTGGTTCGGAAGATGGAGGAGACAATCTTCCCTGTGGCATTGATGGTGCCTTCACTGTCTGAGCTGGACTCAGAGTCGCTGCTTCCGGAGTAGGCGCCCAGACCTGGGAGGATGCCAATGCAGACGGCAGCGGAGGGGCAGTGAATGGATGGGCCACTCAGGGAGGTACTTCCAAGAGACACACAGGATGAGGCCTCTGCAAAAAAAGAGAATTTTTATTCATCACCTTTTCAAAGGTGAGGGGTCTTTACATACGTGCTGGGCTGGATATAAGGTTGTACCTAACAAGTCACCAGGCCGCAAACAGCCCTGTGTAGTCAATCTCCTTGTCATCCTCATTTTATAGACAGGGAAACTGACAAAGCAAATGAGGCTCTGGGAGGTGAAATGACTTCTTAAGGTCAAGAGGCAAACAAAGTTAGGACTTTATCCCCAGAGCCTGACTATACTCTTGTTCCCCACCAGAGAACAAAAACCTTGCTTACTTTCCAGGGGAGTTTTGCTTCCCTGTCCTCCTAAGGGGAACCAGTGTTTAACATTAATCCCTACTCACTTTGGACACAAGATGGACATCCGGAGATGAAAGACTTCCATATGTTCTCAACAGTAGGGATGAAGCCAGATTAAGAGAAATCTGTGACATTAACAATTGTATTGTGTCCTCAGCTTATGGGAATATTTGCTCCTTATGCAACTAGTACAGATCTACTCTGAAGCACAAACTTTAGCTGCAAAATAACACTTTATTAAGGAAGGCTGGTTTTCCCTGATGAGGGAGACAAGCAATTCAGAAACCAATTTAACACAATTTTTGCCTTCTAGTTATGTTCCTCTTTTACAACTGAGAAAACAAGCCAATCAGGTAACATTTTAAGACCATGCACAATGTCACTAAGTAGGTGGGGCTCTTTTCTTCTCAGGAAACCCATACTTACCCTGCCACTCAAAGGATGGAAAGCTTCAATCTAGAAAATGTAGGATTTGAAGGGTAAAGAAAGCCACTGCACTGTACCCTGTCTTCCTTCTGAATGTTTCTAGCCTCATTTAACCAGTGTCACAAACTGCTATAATCACTGTCACAAACTATATTATCCCCATTTGCTGATGAGGGGAGTCAAATGACTTGGCAGTCTAATAGGCTACTGAGAGTAGAAAACATTTAAACTTGAATCAAGTAGACACCTCAAGTAGATGTAAAATGAGACATGGTTCCAAGCATATGAAACAAAGAGTCCGCAAAAAATACTACCAAGAAACTGAACACACTGTTCCATGGCCAGTGTGCAGAATTCAGGGGCTCACAGGGTCACTCCAACCAAGAAGGAAACTGCTAACAATAAACAATAATACGTGCAGATGTTAGAACGTAAAACATTTAACAATAAACAATAATACGTGCAGATGTTAGAACGTAAAACATTTAAACTTGAATCAAGTAGACACCTCAAGTAGATGTAAAATGAGACATGGTTCCAAGCATATGAAACAAAGAGTCCGCAAAAAATACTACCAAGAAACTGAACACACTGTTCCATGGCCAGTGTGCAGAATTCAGGGGCTCACAGGGTCACTCCAACCAAGAAGGAAACTGCTAACAATAAACAATAATACGTGCAGATGTTAGAACGTAAAAAAGGTGAGGGCAGACAATGTTCACAGAGATGTTAAAAATATGGTTACAAGAAAGCAAGGCAAACATCTGCAACTATATCACAAAAGCTAATGTCTTTAAGATTACAAAGGAGTCTAATCTTAAGAAAAAAAACCAACTGAACAGAGAAGCAGAAAAAAGACATCAACAGTTCATGGAAAAGGACATATTTGAACTTTAAACATAGGAAAGGAAGACATTAGGAGGGACACTATGAGAAGAACAGCTAACTTTATATGCTGCTGAAGGAATATAGAGAAATTTGGCAATGACCTTCAAACATAAACACTGTACCTAAGAGAATAGTCACTGCAGCACTGTTCACAGTAGCACAATGTCCATTAATAGGCAGCTGGCTAAGTAATGGACTCCTATTCAGCCATCAAGAAGAAAGCATCTTGAGTGGGGTATGATTCCATGGTTAGGATTTTGCCCAGAATGCACCATGCACCAAGTTCCATCCCTAGGCACTGGGGGGAGGCAGGGAGGGAAGGAGAGAAAGCCAACAAAACAAAGCATCTGTCTTGGTTATGTTTCTCTCGTTGAGACAAAATACCTGATCCTAAAGTGAAGCAAGGAAAGGTTTATTTAGCTTACAGTTTTTTGAAGGTTTCATTCCATACTAAGCTGGCTCCAAGGCAGAAGTGGCACAGCTGAGGGCAACCGTTCATGGTAGCCACAAATGACAAGATAAAAAAGGGCTAAAAGGGGAAAAAAACATGTCAGCTTCCTTCCCTTATACTGTATGCCAGCTCTGCCCTGGACAAGTACAGCACTCACACCACCAATCCCAATGCCAGACAACAAACCAATCACAAATGCTAGATTCAGCCACCTCCATGACTGCATGAAGCTTGGGGGGCCACCTAGAACACAAACTATAACAGCATTTCCATCTGTACTGGAATTGAATTAATTCAAGATATTGTGATAAATGAAAAAGGCAAGGGGCAGAACAGCATGCATAAGTTATAATTTGGGAAACAGGTATAACCATGCATATGTATGACAACATCAGCAAAAATATATGCAAAAGTAGATGCAGTGGCTCCTCTGGAAGAAAAAAACTGATGTTTCCACAGTCTTACGGGACATGACATCAAGCAATATCATTTATTACTTAAACATTCATTATTGCTATGCATAACATACAGAAGGATGCTTTCAGTATTCTGGCAGAAAAATATGATTGTTTTAAAAATATGTATCTTATAAAGGTATGTGGTTCCATTACTTAAAAACTAATTTATGGCTGGGCATAGTGGTACACCCCTATAAGTCCAGCACTCAGAAGGCTGAGACAGGAGGATTAGAAGTTCAAGGCAGGCCAGTCTGGGCTGCATAGCCAAACACTATCTTAAAAAAAAAGAAAAGAAAAAGAAACAAAAAAACCACTAATTCATGTGAAAGTTCGCGAAGAACATGTTTTATCAAGTATTTTAAGTGTAAACTGAATTTAATGGGCTGAAAAAAGAAAGATCAAGTTCAGAATGCCTATGAGGATAACAGCTGGCCTTAAGGAAGAACAGAAGCCGGCTACAAAATGTGTGATCAAAGAATCTGGACCACCGTGCCATCATTAGGTTAAACGAAAAGACCAAAACCTCCAATTATATAGGAAGTTTTAAGAAAGAAAAGAGACTGCAACTCTGACAAATTTCATTCCAAGAGCAGTTAGCTGTCCAAAGAGGAACAAAATGGTGCCCTCTGACCTCACACATTTGGTGAAGTTTCCTGCCAACTCTTGCATTTGCTGTATTCACACTGTCATACCAAATTAACACACAAAAAAATTACTATTAGAGTGTTCTTGGGATTCAGACAGATGCGTGACTTGGGAATAGATGGGGCCAACTTGTGCATTCACTAGCTCTGCTCAGGCAGGTCTTCAGGAGGAAGCTGAATCTCTATCAGGATCAAGTAGCTTCTGAGGGATTAAGGGGCAAATCTGAGGACAGACTCAGAAGCAAGTTTCAGGGTATCATTCTTATGCAGCCTTATATCCTAGCAAAGGAGGCTATTTCTTGCCTAATTTCATGAAGCAGAACACAGGGATAAGACAGCATACAGAAAGACAAAAAAGATGTCTGCTTGAGATAGTTCAAAGAAGTCACACAGTCTTCCTTCCCACTGACTCATTCAAACAGTTTCTATCAGGAAGTAAGCATCAGATAAAGCATCAGATAAAGTAAGCATAGTTGAAATGTGTTTAAAATTTTTATATAAGTCAGGAATGTATGTGCACGTGTGTGTCTATGTGTGGGTATAGCCTATTGTGCTAACATGTCTTAAGATATTGTTAAGATAGTGAAATTATCAGTCTTATAAATTCTATCCTAATTTCTGCTGTTTCTAACAAATCGATAAATTGGTCTCAAAATTCAGACAAATCAAAAGGACCCCAAATAAGCAAACAATCTTGAAAAAGCAGTAAAAACACTCATATTTCTTGATTTTAAAACTTACTACAAAGCTACAGTGATGAAGACTCTGTGGTAATGGTATAAGGATAGACTTAAAAATCAATGAAACAGAAAAGAAAAACCAGAAATAAACCCATATATTTAAAATCAACTGATTTTCAACAAGAATGCTATGCCAGTTTAGTGAATGAAAGATTAACCTTTTCAACAAGTGCTTTCAGGATAAAAGGATATCCCTGTAAAATAACACTGAACCCCTTCTGTAGGCCAAAACAGAAACAAACTTTCTAGGCGTGGTGATGCATCCCTATAATCTCAATACACCAGAGGCTGAGGCAGGAGGACTGCCATGATTTCAAGGCTTGCTTAGGCTACACAGTAAGATTAAAACCAGCCTAAACTACCAAGATAGCAAGACCCTGTCTTAAAAAACAAAACAAGGGGGTTGGGGATTTAGCTCAGCGGCATAAGCGCCTGCCTTGCAAGCGCACCGTTGGGAGTTGGATCCCTGGTACCGATAAAAAAAAAAAAACCCTTAACAATCAAACGAACAAAAAACAAGAAAACTAACTCAAAATGAACCAAAGACTGGATGTAAGAACTAAAAATCACAAATTCTTGGAAGAAAATTACAAAATTCTTAGAAGAAACAGGCATAAATCTTCATAATCATGAATTAGACAATGGTTTCTTATGTATGATAAAACCAAAAAAGAAAAATTCATAAATTGGATGTCATCAAAATTAAAAGCTTTGGGCTGGGGATTTAGCTCAGCGGTGTAAGCACCTGTCTGGCAAGTGCTAGGTCATGAGTTCCATCCCCAGCACCAAAAAAAAAAAAAGCACTGAAAAAGATGTGAAGAAACGAGAACCCTCAGATTCAATATAAAAATAGTGCAGGTGCTTTGAAAAATACTTTAACAGTTTTTTAAGAAGTTAACTATAGAGATACTGTATGACCTAGTAATTCTACTTGTAGGTATTATACTCAAGAGACTGAAAAAAGGATTTCACAAATAAACATGTACATGAAAATTCATAGCAGCATGATTAACTTTAGTCAAAAAGTAGAAACAATACAAATGCCAAACAAACTGTGACATACCATACAATAGATATTATTCAGCCATTAGTAAAAACTATTAATTCATGTCACAAAACTTTGGATGAACTTTGAAAATATTATATTGACTGAAAAGAAACCAGGCACAAAATGCCACATATTGCATGATTCCATTTATATGAAATGGTATAGAAAGGAGTCTATTGAGACAGAAAAAATAATGGTTGCTACTGGCAGAGGAGAAGAGGGAATGAGAAATAACTGCTAACAGTACAGGGTTTCTTTCAGGTATTGAAAATGTTTTGAAAATAGACAGAGGTGATGGTTGCACAACCCTGTGAACATAGTAATAACTACTTAACTATAATCTTTAAAGGATCAATGTTATGATATATGAATATTTCAGTAATTTTTGAAGTTTATAAAGCTGGGGAGACTGGCACATTCCTGTCATCCCAGCTCTCTGGGAGGCTGAGCAAGGAAGACTGTAAGTTTGAGTCCAGCCTGGACAACTTGGCAAGATCTTGCCTCAAAATAAACTTAAAAAGAACTACAGATATAACTCATGTGTGTAGGCCTGGGTTCAATCCCCAGTACTGCCAAAAGAAAAAAAAAAAAAAAAAAAAAAGCCAGATACCATGTTTGGTCTCTGGTTGGATTCTAATTTTAAAAACAAAAATTGCCAAGAAACATTTTTTTTTGATAATTTGGAAAAATGGATACTAATTTTACATTTGACATTTGGTAATTATTGTGACTGTTTTAGATATGATCATATTTCAATTGATAAAACTAGCCAAAAAAGAACTTACTTTTCAGAAACACATACTGGAGAATTATAAAGTGAAATGTCTGGCATTTGTTATAAAACATTACAGCTCAGGAGGTATAGCCTAGTGTAGAGTATCTGGCTACCATGCTCAGAGCCTTGGGTTTGATTACTTAATGCTGCAAAATAAAAAATACATTTAAAAAAGTATTGATATGGGGTAATTATACTACATAAGAAATGTATAATACTGTTTCCCTGTGGAAAGGAGAGCAGATAGAAGAGGTATCTTGAGTGCAAGGGAGTTTTCACTGAGGGTCCTATTAAAAGTAGGTTCTACAGCAAAAGATGAACAGTGACAGCCCACTATGCCTGATACTCTAGGCAAACATTTAAAAAAGTACCCTTTTTTACTTAAAAGGGAGAAATAAATGTGAGTCTTGTTTACAGATGACCTGCTGAATTTACCTCAGAGTCTCAATCCCACAGGGAGTCAGAGACAAAACTGAAAACAGTTGCCTAAATTCTTCATCCCTAATACAGCCCCCAGGAATATTCTCCCTCGCTTACAACTTTATGCCACTTAATAAAGACAGGCTTCATCACATAAAAGTAACTACCAAAGAAAATGTACTCCTAGAGACTGTATTAAGCTTCTAGATCCAGGGGCTGGGGATTTAGCTCAGCGGCATAAGCGCCTGCCTTGCAAGCAGGCAGTCGTGAGTTCGATCTCTGGTACCGATAAAAACGAAAAAGACAAAAAAAAAAAAAGCTTCTAGATCCAACACACTTCAACAATCAACTGGAGCCAGGCATTCTGCCTCCCATGGGGAACAATACAGGCGAAATCAAGAAACTTGACATTCTGGGGAGACAGAGAAATTTTCTTCTGTGAGTAGAGGGCATCTGACCAGGGCTTTGTAAACAGTCCTAAGAAAACACAACTGTCATTTATCAGTTCCACTGGTTTCTAATACATTACTTTTGCAGAGCAGCAGACACAGTCTTGGGTATTTATCTTGCTTGTTATAAAATAGTTTGGCAAATTAAATTTAGATAGGCTTGTTTAAAGAGAGAGATGTACATCCATTCACAGATGAAATGCATTCCAGTCCTTTACTGTGCTTCATGTGCAGTATGAATAAAAAAAAAATCTGTCACTTACCTTGACTCTTGTCATCTGGGTCAGGGTCTGGTTTCAGTCTTTTCACACTATTGCCACTCTCTGAGCTGTAATTAAAAAAAAAAAAAAAAAAAAACCAGTGATTTGAGCTATGTCAATCTTGAGAATCAAAGCTTAGGGAATCAGGAGCTCCAAGAAACTATTAATGTATCACAGGCAGCCTCAAGGAGGTTCTGAAGGAGGCCTACAAGGATTTGAAATGAAAAGCCTTCATTTTAGGTTCTTAATCTCTTCCAATTATAAAATTTATTATAAAGTCAAACTCCTGATAAATCCAAGGGGTGAAACAGGTAACTTATAATTTTTTGGTCATCTTTATCATTCACTTTTTTTGGTGGGTTTTTTTTTTTTTTTTTTTTGAGACGGAGTCTCACTATGCAGTTCAGGCTGGCCTTGAGCTCACTTTGTAGCCCAGGCTGGTCTGGAACTCGGAAACGATCCTCCCACCTCAGCCTCCCGAGTGCTGGGATTACAGGCATGAGCCACCATGCCTGGCCATCGTTATCATTTAATTTGATTAGAAGATTTCAGACAGATTTTAAGAACACTTGGATATGGTTTACAAATGGCAAAAACTTAATTGTTAAACATTGAAGAAAACATTTAGAATAAATTTAAATGTCTTTTGGGGTCATTTGTCACGGTACCTTGTTTTTATTTGATCTATTTTTGAAAAATGAGTACCCATGTGAATATTAGGAAAGTAGGCTTGAGACCAAAAGCATTATAAAAGATAAAGGCTACTTAATAAGAACTGATTTGCTATGAAGAAATAATTCTGAACATCTAGGCATCTTACTCAAAATATATATGCAACAAAACTACAAAGAGATATCAATCAATCACTATGATAGCAGGAAATTTTAAAATACTTCTCTCAAGCATTGAAATACCAGCAAACAAAAAAACCCAGATTTTAAAAAACAGAACAAACAAATTTACTTGTTAGACCTCAACAGAAACCAGAAACAATTATAAAACACTGATTCTCCTCAAGCTTACTTGGAACACTCATAAACATTAAGTTCAGGAATGAGTGACAAAGTCTAAAGCTGCCTCAAAAGCATTAGTAAGCTCAGGGCCTACCTGGCAAGTGTTTGATTCTTGATACCAAAAAAGAAAATACAAAATAAAGTACTCCAAAAAGACCCTCTCCCCCACCAATAAAGAAAAAAGAATCAGTACATATAAACCATGATGCAATTGTTAGAAATCAGTAACAAAAGATGAATATGATACTTAATACTCTCTAAGATTCCATTAATAATAAAGTGCCAAGATGGGACAGAGATCCACGTGAACCAAAGAAATGTAAAGTCACCTAAACATGGAAAACTTAAAACACACTTCTCAATTATTTCCAACTTAAAGTTATTAATAGCAACTTTAAAAAGTTTAGTAGGAAATACAAAATTTGTATACAACAAAAGCTGAGGAATGTTTATAGCTCTGGATGCTACTGAAAAGGCTAAAAATGAACAAACTAGGTATGTGACAGATGTTTACAACAATAAATATAAGGATAAACTTGAAGAGAGTAAAAGATCCCTGACTGATGTTTTAAAATTTTGTTGTAGTTTTTTTTTTCCTTTTTATCCTTGAATAAAATGGATTTGAAAAAAAAAGAGAAGACATCCTTTTAAAAAAGGTGTTTGTTTTGTTTTTATGTCTCATATACATAGATACTAGTGGCTTTCAGACTTTGACCAGGCATCAAATCCATGGAACTTTTAACAATGCAGACTCCCATACTTCACTCCACACTTTCTGAACCAGGATGAATGTGAGGCCAGGGAATCTATAGTGCTTTCTATTTAAGGATCTTGCTATCTAATTTAGGCTGGCCTTCAACTTACTATGTAGCCAGGCTAGCCTTGAACTTGCAGCAAACCTCTTGTCTCTACCTCCTAAGTGCTAGGATTAAAATGTGTCCCACCTTACCTGGCAAGGAATTGATATTACTCAGATTTCCAAGAGACCTAATAAGTCTAGGGCAGTATAGATTAGGAGGAAGTCCTACTCTAGGAGATTGATTTGTTACAAAGCAATATTAAATGATTAATTTCAAAATCCACCAAGGGTTCTATGCAGATTTCCAAATAAGCTAACAGATCCTTTTCTAAAGGTAATATAAAGACTAAATAAGTAGTCTGCACCCTGTCTGTACCACCAAAGAGCCCTTGATTAGCCCAATCCAGTAACAGTGATCCAGGTCCCAAATCCTAATAGATACTGAACTTTGTTTGGAGCTTACATGAGATTTTGAAAGAATTCATGGCTTGTTATCAGACCCTTTTCAGGCTATTCACGCCTCTCCTCTGCTGCTATTCCACGATGACATTTTTACATGAAGGTGATGTTCCCAGGAACATCTGTAGCAGATGGATGATGTGCCAAACTGCAAGACTGCATCAACACACTCTCTTCAAAACATGTGGCTGCTTGCCAATATACTACATTCATTTTCCTAATAGACCGTACTTAATACCATTTTGCCCATGGTCTGGCTGGCCAAAGTGAAGTGACCAGATTCAATCACTCTAGTGCCATTTCAGGATTCGGAAAGAAGGGGTAAACATGCCAAAAACTTAGCAAGGGCCAGGGGTTTAGCTCAGTGGCGTAAGTGCCTGCCTGGCAAGCATGAGGTCAGGAGTTCAATCCCTGGTACCAAAAAAAAAAAAAAAAACCTCTAGATAGTGCTACCACATCAATTAAACCGGGCCACAGCCCTATCACGCTCTTTCAATGCCTCTGCAGCAGCTGCTCCCCCTGCCTGGGATGTTCTTTCCTCTCTGCCCAGTCAGTACCTTTTTAATATCTTCCCTCACTTCCCCAGCATGGGCACAGGCACAGGCACCTGCCAGGCAGAGTTGTGCTCCTCCTACTCTCATTGCCCTGCTACATAATCCTTTCACAGGATTTGCTACCTTATTTACCTTGAAACACAGATGTTCCAATATTGAGCTCCTGCTTTATTACTGTGTGACCTTGGACAAAAGTTCTGAGTCTCTGAAGTTTCAACTCTTCTCATTTGTAAAGCAGGATTATAAAAATACATATTTTATAGAACTGGTGAGATGAATAAATAAGATCATACGCAGGAAGCACTTAACAATGCCTGACGTGTGGAGGTGCTCAATGAAGAGAAGCTATTATTATGTTGATGGAACAATCAAAGAGGCAAGGGTCAAAGGCTATAGAAGATGCCAACTCTCAAAAGATGAGGCGAGTACACTGAAGGAACTTCACAGAGACCTGTGCTAAGTAACTTTCTGCCCTAGCTACCACTGTAAACGGCACTACGAGCACATGCAGAGAGATTTACTCTGTGAGAGCTGGCTGACCTCTTGTGCTTCACAGCTCCTGCCAACAGCTTCGCCTGGGAGAACTTGTTCTTGGTTTCTATTGGTTTCACAGGCAGTTTCTTCTCTACTTCCTTCTTGTTTTCTGCAGAGATTCCAACTTTATTGAGATTACTGTGAGTTACAGGTTAAGGGTTAAACTAAACAAAAGAAAGTGCCACTCCGGGTGATAATAAATCATGAGAAGGGTGACAAATATAACCCACTATAGCAGTACTGTGCAAGTCTCATTGTTTGAATGTCCACTTTGTATGCTTTGATACTGTGACTTGAGCAACTGTCTCTAGAATGATAATTGTAATCTATTAACTGGTGATTTTTTACTGTTTTTTTTTTTTTTTGGTAGTTCTGTATTAATTGTACCCTTACACTGCTTTGTTTTGTTTTTTCTCTTTTTCCTTTTAAATAAAATTAAAAAAAAAAAAAGTAGTCCTGTGCAATTTAAAAAAAACCTCCCTCACTCAGCCAGTCAATTCCAGCTTGTTTATTTTGAGATATGGTCCTTCCTCTGCCCCCAGTCCACTCTAGAAGCCCAGGAGCTGGTTTTAATATCTCTTAAGGTGATTTTAATGGAAACCCCATGCAAACATAACTCAAAAACTGGAGGGCTGTTCTAAAAGAATAAATAGAGTACATGCCACATGTACTTTTCATATTTGATGTCAACTTGTGGCTCTCAACTTGTGGCTGTCACTTTCAATTGCACTCTCTACCAGTTCCCTCCTGTTTATTTTCTGCTCTTTTTCACAATTTATTTGACAACAGATAAGTGCATATTCTGGTGCAAGTTTTTAAATTGCAGTGGTGCCTTAATGGAACAACAGTGACATCTAGTGCCCAAGAAATTTAAGTAGTCTCAAACAGTAGAAGTAGAAGATACACAGCTGAGATTATCCACATGTCTTTGAGTAACAGAGAAAGTAGAATATCAGAAAGACAGACATTCTCATTGTGATCATTCTTCAAACATTAACTATTCTTATAGGTGCTGGTTACTTTAAACAGCTGCAGTATTCAAAGGGGATTATGTGTAATGCTCAGAACTATTCTACATTCCATCAATACAATGTTTTTAAGGTAATCACAAAAACATGTTAATACCATATGTTCATTTTTCTAGCAGAGAATGGCAACATCCATTAACATGTAGTGATTTTCACTCACTGCTCCAACACAAAGGAATAGAAACTCAACAGGAAAACTCTCAATATTAAATATTTAAAAATCACACAAAACTATGGGTGTGGTGGTACACACCTGTAATCCCAACACTCAGGAGCCTGAGGCAGAAGAATCAATGCAAGTTTGAGGCCAGTCTGGGCTACAAAGTGAGTTCAAGGCCAGCCTGAACCATATAGTGAAACACTGTCTCAAAATTAAGACAAAGATGAAGACCAAAAAAAAAATTAAACAAAAATAGAAAAAATAATGAGAGCTTTAATTTTAGGATAAATGCAAAAGTAACCATTTTGTTTTTTATTCTTTTAAGGTAAGAAGGTGGTAGTACCTTATTTTATGATCCACATTCGAAGTCTGATATTTTTTTTCCCCTTTAAGTCCTGCTCCCCTCAAAATGCTTTAAAAACATAAGTACATCTAAAAATCTGAAGTTCATTACATGAGGCATTTTTAAAGTTGCACAATTTTAAGTATTCATAATATTGCTAAATACTAATTTAACCTAAGAGGGAACAAGGGGAGTTCTGCTGTTTACATGGCACACAACCCAGTTTATTTGTATTCAAACGTATAAAGCACCAGATTATAAAATGTACTATAATAATTAGCAAAGCCAAGAGCCAGCTCCTAATCTAATAAACCAATGCCTAGTGCTCCTATTCCTATTTCAGTGAGGCTCTGGCTACTTCTACATTTGAAATTAGTACATTACACATCAGTCATTGGCAAGCCTGCTTTTCTTTACTTTTTCTAGACAATCAGAAATTCCCAAATTTCTAATTAAAGCCAATACCCCTTGGAGCATCTTCAATGCTCCACTGCACAGTTACCAGGACTGGAGTTTCTGTTTTGTCCTTCCTTTTAGTTAGAAGCTGAAAGGCACCCAACTCACTGCCCTACTCTCCAGAACACTCCTTTGGCAGACAGTCTGTCTTATTTGCCAGGCAAGTAAAGGTGTAATTAATGTATTGCCTTACAAGACAAAAAATGTGGCACTTGTATGTGTATGTGCCTATTTCAACAAAAGTCAATACATATTATTCTGAGGTCAGCAGCAGCAGCAGCAGTGTGGAGGAGAGTTCAGAAGACTCAAGGTCAGTCCTACAGCTTTCCATCAACTCCTATCCTCACTTTGCACCTCAATGACACTAATTAGAAAGAGATGGGAGTCTGAACTTTTGTTACCAGTTCAAATTTAAGTCAAACTCAGGAAATTTGTCCACATTTTCTTCCATATAACTCTCTTTTTCATTTTGGTACTAGGAATCAAACTCAGGACCTTGCACTTGCCAGGCAACTCCCGTGTAACTCTTTAATGGAATCTACTACTCAGTCTCTACAAAAAAATACCAACTAGCACATACAAAGTCACATCACCAATCTTAAGAGGTCAAGCTTATTCAAGCACAGTAGTGAGATTATACAAAAATATAAATTTGAAATACTCAAATAAGCATTCCCACAGGTGGAAAAAAGTTATCAGTGGCATTATTAACATCTGCTATGTGGCTGGGGATTTAGCTCAGTAGCAAGTGCAAGGTTGTGAGTTCAATCCCCAGTAACCCGCCTCCCCCCAAAAAATCTGCTATGAGTCATACCTTAATTTGTTCACATATTTACTGGGAAGCTGCTACATGCCAGGTACTGGAAAAAGCAGTTCCGACCAAGTCCTACTCCTTATGGAACTTACTTTATATTCCCACAATAAAGAAATAAAATAAAGCCAGGCATAATTATATATGCAGGTACTCCCAGCAACAGTAGAGCTGAAGCAGGAAGATTACAAATTCAAGCAAGCCTTGGCAACTTAAGTGACAACAGTGAGAGTTTAAAAAAAAAGAAAGAAAGAAAGAAAAAGAAGAATTATTATTACAGTGCTGGAGGTGCAGTTCAGTGGCACAGTGAGTGTTTGGCATACTTAAGGACCTGGATACAAGCCCCAGTACCAAAAAGAAACAAAGGCAAAACAAAAAGGTAGGCAGTAACGAAGTCAGTGCAACCATGGATGGATGCTGAAGGCAGGCTTCTGTGAAGCTCTGAGCTGAGAACCAAATGCTGTGATATGCCAGCATTATTAAGATGTGAAGGCAGAGCATTTCAAGCTGAGAAGTTAGCAAGTTTAAGGCCCTGAGACACAATCAAAGCTTGGTGTAAGGAAGGGAACACAAAGAAAGCAGCAAGCTGAGTACACATAAGAAAGTGGTTTCAAGACACCAACAGGGAGGTGGGTTGGCCTAAATCATGTAAAGCCCTGTAGGACTCATGAAGAATGTTGACTTTCCTCTGAATGCAACAGAAAGCCTGTAGAGTGTTTCACACAGGAAGTAACATGCTGCCATGTAGGTTTTTTCAAGTTCCCTTTATTGAAGATAAGAGTAGAAATCCAATTAGAATATGGTTCATATATCTGGATCTGAATATTTTATGCTTTAAATGTGACACATGTTTTGGAAGAAAATGTTTTTTAAAGAAACCAGTTAGATCATTCACAGTCCCAGGGGATAGTCCACAACTGCTTTAGGGCAGCAGAGACAGCAAGAATTAGACATTACGGAAGCAATTTTTGACACAGGCAGCTAAGAGCACAAAAGCACCAATTACTGAAACTGGAAAATCAGAAAAAAAAAAAGCAGTGGAAGCAAGTTGTAGGGGTGACATGGAGTAAAGAATTTAGATTCGGCCACATTACATTTTGAGATGCCTACTAAGACATTTGTGCAGATTCCAACAAGGCAATGCTGAACCAAAGCAAAATAATCTTTGTTGCTTTCTCAGGCCTTTTATGGGGAAGGACCTAGTTGCACCAAGGGAGATTCTGTTAAGAACACAGGACAGTTGCTAAACATGTCCTTTTAAAAACTCTGTAGCCAATTTTTTCCCTGGATGAGAATGATTGCATTGCCCATCTGTCTCAGAGTCTAATCCCACAAGACAAGGATATCCTGCTACTCACTATCAGGATTTATGTCCACAGTTAATCCTAAAGGACATGGGCTTCTGATTCCACCAGACTCATGCACATAACAGATTCTACAAGTCTCTGCCAGTCAGAGTGATGGGAGTAACAGTGTTAAAAGAGGCTGGAGATTAACAAACAGAAGACCCTCTTTCTAATTATAAGGAAACTGACAACACAGACATATCTTACAGTACAAAGGATATTCTGTATTCCTTTAGTTCCTTCAGTTCTTCTTCTCTTCGTTGCTTTTCTATTAGCTCCTGCTGCCGAGAAACCTCATCAAGGAAGTTGGTCTCATCTTCATCTAAGCCTCTTACCATGTTTTCTGAGGAATTAAATAAGGAACACCAAGTAGACTAAGGGAAAATATAGTCTAATTTGACTTTTCCTTCCCCCACTGCCCCCCCATCTTTATTAACAAACAATGGATTCTTCAGGGGATTAGAACAAAGACCAGTTTACACCATGACTTTTAGATAATATGTCATAAAATCAAGACATTCTTCCCATTACTAAATATTAGAATAGTATTAAAATGGGTATCTTGAGCTTGAAACAATGTAGTCCAGAAGGCAGAAAGCTCCTTCTTTTCTACCAAATGAACATTTGGAGACTAGATAATCAAGACAATTCCACTGCTAGTTAGAAAGTGTGGCATGAGGCAAAAGTGCATCAGAAAGGCCCTCAAGAGTCCCTCAGACTTGTATTTTCTGATGCTTACTGAATTTGAACTGCTCCTCATACTCCTGCTGCTTCCTGTCTTTCTGTTCCTGTAGCCTTTCATAGAGAGACCGTGGGTCATAAACCTCCTCTGGACATTCTAAAAGGAAGACAAAAGAGATGAGAGATAAGAAATATATATTTTATAATTATTTTGGAATCATAAGGAGTTTTAAAGATTAAAGTCAAGTCTCTACATTAACTGAGGGGAGGATAACACAAATATAGTACAAAGACCATAGCTTCCCTTTGGACCTCAGCAACAAGTCACAAGTTCTCAAAGCCAACTAACAATGTCAGTAGACCAAGAGCTTGAGAGTTAACTGGATGAGGGGCCAGCTCAAACCCTCCATAGCAGCGGCACTGTCAGTTGTGGATCCATCCTTATAGAAGGAAAAATCTGAAGAATCTTCTAGAAGGAAGGGCGGCAGAGAGGAAAGAGCACGGCTATGAGTTGGGTCTGCTACAGAGGCCTTCTATAGGTTACTTTGCCCTCTGAGCTTAGGTTCAACTCTAAAAAGGGGACAGTTATACCTCGTTGGCAGGGTCACTGAATTTTCAAGATTATTATGCTATGTATCCAATCATAAGCCAAAAATATACCTTTGGGATCTTCGGGTTTTCGAACTTTCTCCCATTCTTCTTGTCGCCTTTTGCGTCGTTCATCTAATTCTGCCTCAGATACAAACCTCTTTTTGATAACAAGATTGCCATCATCCCCTCCATCCATAATGAAACGAATCAATCTACAAAACAACAACAACAAAAACCTCAAGAATTACAGTTAAAATTCCAAAGAGAAATAACATTTAACTGTATTTATCTAGCATCAGATGGAAAGTTTTCTTCCAATCTTAAAATTTGAAAAAAATCCTCAAATAGTTTAATTCATACATTGTTGGTAAGACTACATAATTACATTTTTCTTAATTCAGGTAGATTTTATTAACACCTATGCTATCTACAAAGTCAATGAGAAGATGTGGAATAAATCTTATTGCCAGGTACGTGTTTCACAGTAAATCTCACACTGCAGATGTTTGTCTGTACCTCTGTCTAGACAAACTGGTCCCCTGGGCACTTCTTTTCCTCAGCCCCTATCCTCCTTTACTTCTATAACATCTGATATTATTCCCTCTTCAGAGTCCTGTTTCAGGGACATGACTCTATATTAATTTGCCTGCTCTTGGTTCCAAGTAGATTCAGATGGAGTCCGTTGGTTACTAAATGACTGCTCTAGGCCAGTCTGTAAAAAGGGCAGTGGTAGCCCCCGAAGTTAACCATCTTTTAACACAGAGAGTGAGACTAGAAGAACCCAGATCTCCCAACTTCTAGCTGCATAATAAAGCAACTCTTTCCTCTCATGTCTGTGCCACTTCAGATTCAATTTTCAGTCGTCTCAGATTTTCACTCCCACAACTATCTCAATCACTTTATGCATATCTTGATGCAGAAGAGTCCCAAATCTATCAACCCACTTCTGTCTCAAACTTTCTTAACAGGGGAAAGAAAAATAAAGGTAGAAGAGTGTCTATTATTACTTCTAAGTAATCTTTTTCTCCTTTCTGCTGATGGTTTCTTTCCATTCAAACAACTGTGGAATTAGCCAGGCATGATGGTGCATGTCTGTAATCCCAGCACTTGGAGGCTAAGGCAAGAGCATCACCACTAGTTCCAAGCCAGCACGGGTTACATAATGAGTTCAAAGCCAGCCTGAATTACATAGCAAGACCTTGTCTCAAGACAAAAAACAAACAAAAAGAGGCATATATTCAACCCACTCTGAGTTCAACTCTGATAACTATAAAGTTTGTTACCACAAAAATAAAGCAGGTAACATTTACTAAGGTCTTAAGCACATACATACTTTTTACATGTATTATCCCATTTACATGTACACTGACTATATGAGAAGTACTGTTTCCTCACAGATGAAAAAGTGGAGGCTCAGAAGTTAGGTTACTTGTCTAAGGTGATAGAGGCAGTGAATTAAATCCTGGCTTGACATCAAAAATTCCAACACTTACTCATCTTTTACCTTACCCTTACCTTACCTTACCCACAAATCACTAAATCTTGATTCAACTTTTTTTGGGGGATGGGGTCTTGCTATAGTTCAGACTTGCCTCTAACTCACTGTGGAGCCTTGGCTGGCCTTGAACTTGTGGTGAAATCCCACCTCAACCCCAAAGTGCTAGGATTACAAGTGTGTACCACCATGCTGACTTCATCTTTTTTCTATATCAATCGCCAGTGTTAAAAATGCTCATCCATTTTTACTTAGTTCAGATATCCAAACATTTAGAACAAAAGAAATCATCTCAACCTGAATCCTACTGTTGACATTTAGGTCAATGTAGTGAGATAGAACTGTGAAAATTACTAGAAAGAAAACAGTCAACTGACAGAGCTGTTCCTTGTACCCTAAGATGCACAACATGGACACTTCTGACTCTGCATCATTTGATGCCTCCAGCCAGAGCTTATTACAAAATCGGAACTGCTAAGTCTCTGTGACCATGTCAAAAAACCTCAAGTTTTGCAGAACAACCTATTATGTGAGAAGAGCCAATAATTTATTAAGTGTCCATGGCAAAGAAAACATGAACTGTGTTTGGCTCTAATGGGTGAGAGACACATATTCAACCCTCCATTTCCCTTCTTGTCTTCTCTTTGCTGTCACTCTCTCCTGTCTCACTTTGCATTAACTGTTTGGTTTCTACTTCTTAGCCCTATTTCCTGGTAAATAATTAAGAGTGGGACAGGTCTGATGATACATGACTTCAGCTGAATCCACCACTCACACCCAGAAGCCAGTCTTATTCCCCTCTCAAGATAGACCACTGCACTCCCTTCCCAACAGCCAACGTCCACTGAGTATGCCTGATAGTTCTCTCTTTAACTGCACTGAACTGTTTTCCCTATGCATCACACATAAATCCACTGTGACTACACAAAATCTGTCAAATCTTCTCCTACATGACAGTGCTTCAGTTGTCCGTGATGAATTCCCATGTTCCTCTTGTTACTTTCCTGAACCAAACATCCCTGGTTGCTTTAATCATACACAATGGAGAAAAGTAAGTATTTCAAAGCAGTGAATTAATCAGATGGTGTATGATTTAAACCTGGGAAATAAATATTAGGATATAGCAATGCCACTGGCATCCTTCAAACACATCTCCTGACTCTTATTTCACCCTTTTTTGTTGTTGGTGGTGTTTTTCTTTTTCTGTTTTTTCGAGACAAGGTCTTGTTATATAGTTCAGAGTGGCCTTGAACTCACTATGTAGCCCAGGCTGGCCTCAAACACATAGTTGTTATCCTGCTCAGTCTCCTGAGTGCTGGGATTAAAGGTGTGCACCATCACAACTGGCTGATAAAACATTTTTTAAAAAAATGAAAATAACATGGGGCTGGGGATTTAGCTCAGTGGCATAAGCGCCTGCCTTGCAAGCAGGCAGTCATGAGTTCGATCCCTGGTATTGATAAAAAGGAAAAAGACAAAAAAAAAAAAAATTACATACAAAGTTCCCCATTTAACAACCTACCTGTTTAACTCTCTGAACTGACAGCAGAGGCATGATGTTTAGACTTAAAACTTTTCTTTGAACTTTTCTATACACCTTGTTTATAAAGCTTCAATCTTTTTTTAACAGTGCACCTTGTTTATACAGTACAATTTCTGTTGATTGTACTGTAGTACTGTAGTTTTATGTTGTTAAGACATTATAGTACTGCATTTACAATTATGCAAATAAAGCAAAGTCATCAAGTTGGAGTTTCCTTTGACCATTTCTTCGTTCCGAATATCATACATACATACTGTACTATCCACAATTCTTTACTTAATGACCAATTCATTTAGTGATCTAGCTGCAGGAACTAAACTAGCTATTAAACAAGGAATGTCCATATATCAGAATGGAAAAAAATATAAAACCTAGGATGCTTGTAAACAAGTTTAAGTAGAAACTCTAAAGGATTAAGAATCTCCCTATCATACTTATGAATCATTTTGGGGCAAGACAAATTTAGGGAATTCCATGCAATCCTTTATGCTCTCTTTTTCATCAGTCTCAAAGTGTTAGAATTCAACTTCACAAGTGGTTTAGTCTGAGCTATTATCATGTTTCATATACAAGGAAAAATTAAGGATAACAGTTGTTTAATGAAAGTAAGAAATAAAGCAGCAGTGCCAGGCATGTGATGCATACCTGTAATCCTGATATTTAAGAGGCTGAAACAGGAGCATCACAAGTTTGAGGCCAGCTGGGGATAAACAGCCATTACAAGGTCAGCTTAGAATACACAGCAAAATCCTGTTTTAAAAACACCCATGTTTATAGTGACACAGTTGAAATTGCTTGGAAACAGCCCTAATGCCCATGAACTGATTAAAGGATAAAGATGTGGGGTTTTTGTACAATGGAGTACTACTCAGCCATAAAGAAGCATAAAATTGAGACATTTCTAGGTAAATGGATGCACCTTGGGACTACAGTCTTTAAGTGAAATAAATCAAACACATATGTAAATACTGCATTGTTAAATATAAATAAGAGCCAAAATGTGTAATAGATATTGTGAAATAGGAAGAAAAGGTTAAAATGGGAAGGGGAAGTAAGGAGGAGGAAGGGAAAGGAAGGGAAAAGAAACAAATGAGAAAAGGAGAAAAAAATGGAAGCAAAGCTTTTGTAAATAAGGAGGGAAAGAAAAGCTGTAGGGAGGGAAGGGGAAGGGAGAAAAGAGTCAAGTTACATCATGCACAGGTACAAATTCCCTGTGATGAATGTGATCATTATGCATACCTAAAATGTTCCAATAAACTTAATTTAAAAAAAAATTTTAGCTGGGGATTTAGCTCAGCGGCATAAGCGCCTACCTTGCCAGTGCACGGTCGTGAGTTCGAGCCCCGGAAAAAAAAAAAAAAAGATGCTTAAAAAAATTTTTTAAAAACTTTTTAAAAGCAAGCAAGCAGGTAGAGCACATTTAGCAAGCAGGTAGAGCATATTTTAAAAAGAAATTAAGTCAGGTGCAGTGCTCCATGCCTGTAACCTCAGGTATTTTGGAGGTTGAGACAGCAGGACCATAAATTTCAGGTCAGCCTGGGCAACTTAGCAAGATCCTGCCTTCAAAAAATAAATAAATAGATAGATAGGCTAGGAAGGTAGCTTCATGATAGCATGTTTGCCTCAGACTCTGGATTCAACCTTCCGGCACAGGAGCAGGGAGAAGAAATTAAAAGACAGGAGCTTTACAATTTGACAGAAATTATTTCTCATCAGCTCTCAATGGCTTGATTTACACCACTGTCAAAACTAATAAACACTTCTAAAAGTCTGCAACTTTAAAGTACATGTCATAATCTCAACAATCTTGCTTTCTAAAAATATAAAGAACAAAATGAGATAGTCACATGTAGTAAATTTCTGAGATTAAAAAGGACTAGACTAGCTAGGGAATTAGCCCAGCAGCATAAGTGCCTGCTTGGCAAGCACAAGGTCGTGAGTTTGATCCCCAATACCAAAAACAAAAAATAAAAAATAAGGACTAGACTAAAACACACATCATTTTGTAGCCTCCTTATCAAGAAAGTGATAATGGTAATAACAAAATGGTAATAAAATAAAAAGTACTTATGGACTCTTTTAAAATTGAGACTTGGGCTCAAAACCAGTCTGACACCAGTCTGAGTCACTTAACTCTTCTGAGCTTTGGTGCTCTCTTGCATAGATTAGACTCA